TGAAAATCGCTTATATATATATATATACTCTGGTATGCAAAAATTAAGGACAAAATGGAAAATCTAGCATAACACATGATATATTCACATGATGCACTGGGGGCCATGTTGTAAGAAAATAAAACAAGCTGCCGGTGGAAGCTCAGTATTTATGTGAATAGTATTCTAAAGTATATATCAGTTTAAACAAAGGGAATTTGTTGTTAGGGTGTTATATGGCTAACAGACAACACAGAAGAGACTTAACACGGCTTGTCTATTTGCCCGATGGTCAGTAAGTTGGATTCCATTAACGCAAATTCACTGGAGACACCAGTTAATGTGGTGCCAGGAGCACAGCAACTGGACAGATGCGCAATGGGGTTGAGTACTATTTACGAATGAGAGCAGATTTTGTCTGACCAGTGATTCTGGATGTATACACATCTGGATAGAGCAAAGAACATGATATAACACCTCAAACACCATCAAAAGAGACAGATTTGAAGGAGAATCAGTTCTTGTATTGGATGTTATCATGTTTGGTACTCGCACTGATCTACACATCTTCAAATGTGATTCAGTCACTAGCGCACACTATTGTATCTAGGTTTTTCTTCCTTATATGCAACTTTTTAGAGGTGCTGTGTGAGGAATTCATCTTCATGAACGATAATGCTACACCTCATCGTACAGTGGCTCTTACAGAACTGTTGGAGACACTGAAGATATTGCACATATGGAATGGCTGGCAAGGTTCTGGGATTTTAATTCGATTGTACACATGTGGGACACTCTGGAGGGACGATTGGCACCAGCACCCCAGCCGCCGGCAACAATTCCGCAGCTGTGATTTGAACTACAATGGGCAGTTATTTCTGAAGAGCTTCCGCAGATGATGTCAAACCTGCACAGCTGTCAGAGGTGATCATATCCCATGCTAAAGACCGGAATTTCCTTGTCAGTTCCGTGCAACATTGATGTTTTGATCATTTGTACAATTGTGCTTCTAGTCTATATTTCAATGAATTTCCTTAATGCTCCTGTAGATTATATATTTTTTTGCAAGTTGTGTACTTTCACACATTCTTGCACTTTGAGGTTTCCATGGTATGATTTACATCGAGTTTCAACAATCCTGTTCAAACTTACTTTCGAAAAACCACCTTTTCCCTAATTTTCGCACACCAGTGTATATGTATATGCAGTAGGACTTCTATTTAACGAATAATAAGAAAAAAATTCAAAGTAATTAAAGCAATTAAAAACTATACTTCCAGTGGAAAAACACGCTATGCAGCTGAAGTTCCAAAAGGACTTGAAAAATTACGAAAAAATACAGCAACCGAAGCTGATGTCTTCAGGGGGTACCAGCTCCTGAAGCCATAAATGCAAAACCTTTTCTACCGAGAGAGAGCACGATAAATGTCTAAATTGCTCTCTCTGTATCCCAAAGGTTTTGCCAAAGTCCAGGAAGGGAAAATACAATATAAAATACATTAAGCAAGAAAAGATTTTGCATTTATCGATTCCGTAGCTGGTACCCCCTGAAGACTTCAGCTTCGGTTTTCATATTTTTCATAATTTTTCATTGTTTCTCTATTTAACAAAGTTGCTAAATCCTAATAAAACCTTCACTATATGGAAAATTTGTTAAATAGAAAATCCGCATTTAAAATGCTAAAACACAAAACGGGCTTTAAATTCTTTAACACTAGACGTAATTAAAATAGCAACTGTAAATTATTATCTGCTATTTATTTTATAAATCTTAACCATAAAAGAAGTCTGTACGAAAATTAGAAATGGAACAAAAGATTATCTTGTGTTACATGCTGTCATTATCGTATGTGTATTAATTGTTCTGTATCTAAACCACTTTATATTTCTTTAGATTGGAGAACCTCATTTATATCAGCTTTTTAAAGACTTAAAACAAATGAAAGTGGACTCTGTGAAATTAGAAGAAGAAATCAATTTACATAAAAATCACAAAAGTGTAGAAGATCAAAAAAATGAACGAATAAAAGTGGATGTTGAAAAACAGGAAGAAAGAACAATACTAAAAGAAACTCTAAGAACTTTGAAACAGCATAAAATGTATTTGGTAAGACAACTTCTGTATGGTGGTATGAAAAAATTGAGATGTTTAATTACTTAAATATTTAAATTTTGATATATCTGTGGCAGATATGTATAATATTCACAAATGCGCTGACGCCATTCGTAGAAAATTTATCACAATCACTTGATCTAAAATCACACATTGTCATTCATATTTACATGAATTGAGATCTCAATAGCATTTTGTATTTTCACTATTTTATATAAAATATTGCAATTTGTATTCACATGAGTTAAAAGCCGTTATATGTTTATAATGTGGTTCGTGTGAATTAAAAAGTATACATCGGTGCATTGCCATAATTGGCATTATGTATTTCCTAGCCTTGAATATTTCTTTAATTTCTTAAATGTATTTTTTTAAATCATTCTTAATCGAGTTTTAATTAAATTAAACCATTTATTTACTTTCCATTTCAATGCAAATGTAAAATGGAATCAAAAACAAAATCTGTTTTTAACTTTTTATTTTTTACCATACTAATTCTCAGTCTTTTTGGTGATTAGCCATAGCCAAATTATTTTCAAATTTATGTTGATTAAGGGAGTTGGCTTTGTTTTTGACTATTTTAACTTTCGATGAATCGCGAACTCCTGATCCCTTTCCATGCTCTTAGTTGTCTGTTGGGAACAATTCACTTTACTTTTAATTTTGAGTTCTTGGCGCTGGGACTGGAAGGGGGGGGGGCTTCGGCCTCTCTGCCCCAACTGTTGAATTTTTATCTTTACAGAAATTCTTGATGTTAGAAGAATGATTTTCTTGATCCCTTTGACGAATTTTCTTTCTTTATTTCATTATTTCTAAGTCATATTCTCTAAATAATAAATCAATTTTTCTCAAATGAATTTCTTTATTTTTCTGGGATAAACATGCCTCCTTCATAACCGAAACAAATCTATCTCATACAGCCAAAATTATGCTTAATACTACAATGATGCTACCTCCACTAACCACTAAATTGGACTAACAGCTCCCATCATAATCAGAATTCGCTTTAACTCTATTTAAAAATCAAACATCAAAATTCATATTTAAGCTATTTATAAATCAAACATGGAGATTGTGTTGGACGCAATTTTTAAATTAAATATTGAGATTCGTATTTGCATGATTTAAAAACCATACTTTGAGATTCATATTTGCACAATTTAAATTAAAAAAATAAAATTTTGCTTGGATAATTTTTATTATATGTTTATAGCATTCTATGGAATTATGTTTCCTACATCCACTTTTTGTTTGCTTAAATTTCAGGTATTTTTTCACTTACAGTAAAACCTGTTTTTGTGCGGTGGATAGGGACCGCATAAAAGAAATCGTACAAAAAAGAATATTCGAAAATTTTATAAATTCTTACATATAATAACAACTTTGTACGATATACAACCTAAAACTTTTTTAATGCGGTGGATAGGGACCGCATAAAAAAAGTCGGACTCAGAAATACATCAATAATTCATGAAATAGATATGAGAATGCTTTCAATTAAATTAAATAAGACCTAAAGAAATTGTAAAAATATTTAATTCTTCATTGTACATATACATGGAGAAGTTTTCAAATTACACATTAAATAGTTTTCTGCTACTCGTCGTAATCCAGAACGCGCATCTTCTTGGAATGAATTGGTTGAAAATCGCTTACGTCGCTTGAAGATAGGATTTCAATTGATTTGCTTTTTGGTACCATAAAGTCAGTGATCAAATAAAATGAAATAAAAATCATAAAAACTACATATAAATCGAAACAAAAGCAATTAATTTATTTACCTTTAATCTCACTATAAAATAAATCCTTAATCACATGAATCGTGTCTAAAACTCTGAATACAAAATGTATAGTATTTGAGAGACGCGCAGACAAGAATTTACAAAATAAAAATAACGGTTTAATTTTAAAATACTAAGTATTTTAACAGAGCAGACGATTTTTTACTGATTTACTTCAACTTGTTTAGCGCAGAATAAATTTTAAACAGAAGAGAAAATGGAGTTGACGATAATAAATGAACTAATGAAAGTAAATAAACAGAGCATCGCGAAGTTCAGATACATCGTTGTCAAGGAGACCACTTAATCAGAGTTCGACCACAACATATATATGCACATTGATAGGAAACATTGAACTGGTGCTAACACGGCTAAGATTCATATACCGCATAAAAATAAATTGCACAAAAATAAAATCGCACAAAAATAAAATCGCATAAAAAAGGACCACACAAAAACAGGTTTCACTGTATTTAAAAAGTGTTTTGCACACAACAATTTTAGATTTCTATTTTCAGCTACTTTTTTTTAATTTTTTTTAATCAAACCCATTAGTTGACGTTATAAGATCAAAAATGTATAATTATGACTTATGATAAAAAAACTACTAATTTATATTAAATTGATACATATTATAGAGGAGTGTTTGAAATAAGGTATTTCCCTTCATTTATAGAATTCTTTTTCTTGCTGGCATTAATATTGCAAGTAGTTCCAGAAACAGTTATAAACGTTTTACTGTAGAGAAACTTTGTTGAAGGGAGACTTTGTGTTTTGTTAGATAATTATTTTTAAGCCAAATTGTGTTCCAGCACTTTCGTTACTTTCGGTAATTACTTCCTACTTGGCTAAAAAATATTTTCCTATTAATTTCTTGTCCAAAGGGTAAGGCAACTTGGAGAAATCATATCTGTCAAACAGCTGATTAGCAGAAGTTGTATATTTAAAATTTGATTTTTCAAGAACTGTCTGATTTTGTACTTTACTGTGTAAAAATGCATTCTTTAAAATGAACGTAAAAAGTTTCACACCTTGCAATTCAATTTTTTTAAAATTATTATTAAATAAAATAATAAAATCACTAAAGTATGAAAAATTATTTTTCGCATGGAATTTTCTGTTGAAACATGAATTTTATAGTATCTTTTATACCATATTTAGTTTTATTTTAAGAATTATTTTTTTTATTTCTCTTATTATGCATACTAATATTCCTTTTTATATTTTAGGACTATCAAGAAATACGGAAAATGTCATCTGATCTAAAAAAAAAAATTAAGCCAAAAGAAGAAGAAATTAACACAGCAAAACTGGATATTGAAAAAATAAATAATTATTGTCAAGAAAAAAATTCTATTATCCGAGAAAACTTTGAGCAGATTAAAAATGCGGTTTGTATAATAATTATATAATATCTTATTTAATATGGTATTGATATAGTTATATTTTTCATTGTTAATTAATTGATTTCAAGTCATATTTTTCTTTGAAAATACTATATTTAAAAGGCTTGTAACAATATCGTGATGTGTCACACTTTTTTCAAATTTGACATTTTTCCATCCAACTGTTTCTTAATATTGTTTCCAGGCAGCTACTTTACAAGTTTCTTGAATTTACACTCCGTGTCATCTTAAGGAACTGATTTACTCAGCTTTTTCTGTTAAAGTTTTGTTGAGAATTAAAGCTTTCTTGCTTTATTATATTTTTCTGTCTTCATTTTTTATTTTATTTTTATAGTTTTAGATAGCCTCAAACATGGTTTTGGTCATAATAGCTAGCAAAGAAAAAAAATCTATGCTTATGCTATAGAATAATTGAACACATTTTTAATATTCCCTGCAGGCTCCTGTTTTCTGAGTCTTTTTTGTGAAATAAATATAAGTATAAAGAAGCAATTATCTTCCACTTAAAAAATTATTTTCATTTAATTTTTACAACCATATTAAATTAAAAAATTAATCTTAATAGAAAATCTTTCTATTTCAATTTCTTATTGAGTAGTTTATATAACTGTTCAGTTGAAATAAGATAAATTTAATTTTACTTTGAAAAACAATAAACTTTTTTAATACTGATGTAATTATCTAGGAAAGCACAATCATTTTGATTCATTTGAAGAAAAAAATTGGGCAGTCTTATTAATTCCCATGCTACACTGTCCCAAAGGCATATTTGTCTTTTATAATAATCTTTAACCATATAGTATAAAACATTAAAACTAAATACTAGATCTTCAAAGCAGAGACATTAGTCATAGTATAAAGCTTTACCATATCTATCCATACTATGAGGCAAATTTGAAAGAAAGCAAGTCCCATATCCAGACGTTCGTTTTTCAAAAGGGTCTTTTTTTACGGACACTTTTTAAAAATCAAAATAAGCAAAACTCTTTTATTTTTTCATAAAAAAACAATAATTTTTTTTCCTCTTGCGACCTGTGAAGAAAATGCTGGGATGAAAATCCTCCACTTTTCTGCTGATTTCTACTTTGTTGCGATAATTACCTGCCCTCTGATTTCCATTATGACGTGAAAATAATTGGATATTACGTAAACAAAATACCACTGCAGTAGGAAAATTTTTTTCTCACGTCTTGCATGAAAGGATTATTACTGCTAATAATCACTCACTCAATTTCAGAATGTGCAAAAATTTCACATTTTGAAATTATTGCCGATTTGAGATGGAATGGTCACGACTAAAATGGGTCATAAAGTTATTATTCAAAATCGCTATTCGAAATTTCCCTTTTATGATACTGTAGCATTTAAAAATTATGAAAATATTTTGCCACAACTGACAGAAATGCAATAATCCTCAATAATTAAGTGCAAAATGTGCATTTAGAAGTTTTATGAATAAAATAATATGGTATTAAAATATTGAGAATTTAAAAACTAAGTGAAAATCCTTTTTAATAATTACCAAAAAAAAAACTATTGACAAAACCATGCGGATTCACTGTGTAATCGTTGCTACTTTAGTAGATCAAGAAGTGATTACTAACTGAAACATGTTATTCAGAATTAGCTGTATGCTATAGTGGCATATTAAAATATTACGACTTTAAAAACCAAGTGGAAATTGAAAACAAATGCTGTGAAAATAGTGTGAACAACATGGATTTATAGGTTGTTAATTGAATTTAATGTTCATTATTGTCCTTTTGTTATTTTTTATCAAATAAAGATGTTTTATGGTTATTTACCTCAATGACTTATTATATGGAAAAATATGATTTCTCTGACTTGCTGAAGTCCTGACGATTCCAGATATAGGACTTACCACTGAGTATTAAAACTTACATTTCTGCGAAATTTTTACAAAATTGCTTTCAACTTTCTGCAGGTAGATATTTAGACATTTTTTGATGTTTTGTGAGGCAGGAAGGTTTTCAGAATTAAGGTGATGATCTTTCAGGCATTTTAAAATACTTTTAGAATGTTTACAGTAGCTTTTTGTTTGTAATGTCGGAAAATTAATTAATCAGTTTTTCACAACAACTACCGATGCATTCACTTTTAAGATAGCTGCTAATTTTATTTTTATTTCATTTATATATAAAATTCTTAAAGTATCTTCCCAAAATTTGATCTTTGTATCTACGAAATATCTACAAATAGTGACAATTTATTCTATGCTAAGTATCGATGGGGCATGTCTTATCTTTTGGCATTGCTTAAGTTTTAATCATAAATTTTAAGTTTTTACTAATCATAAATTTCAAACTGTTTAGGTTAGTGACATATAAAGAAAAGTGCATTACTTCTTTATTGTTCTGAAGTATTACTAATACTATTTGTTTTGATTAATGCATTTTTACAAATCATATCCTTCTAAATATAAAACAGGAAAACTGAATTGCTATGTGCGAATGATTGATTCAGACTCAACACAAAATTGAATTTAAGATTAATAGTTAAAAGGTTGAAGTTTTATATGATAATTACTACCTTAATAAAATGATAATTAATACATTCATAGTTTCAAAATCACGATTTTTCATATGATACTTGTATCCCAACTAATTAAAACTTGAAATTTTTTTTTTTGATGTATTATATATTTTAATTCTTATTAATGCTATATTCTTTTATTTTTTTAGAAAAGGACATCATCTGTTATTCAAGAAAAAATTGTAGAATATGAAGCTAAACTATCTGAATTTCAAGATATGGTATGTAACATAAAAGTTGTAACCTTCTAACTTTCTATTGTTAATATATTTTTTCTATTCACAAGAACTAATGTTTGTTCAAATTCTAGCTTGAACTATGCATTTTGGGTGCAAAATTTATTTTAATAAACTTAATATATTTGAAACTACATTTTAGTATGTTGAATTATTTTAATTTTCAGGGTTGCAATGCCAAAATACGTTATCAAAAAAGAATTGAAGAAAAAAGAAATCAAGTACAAAAGTATGATTTTTATAAATTAATATCAATGTATATATATATATAATTTTACCAAAAACGTGTGTGGTCTCAAATTTGTTGCTTGAATTATTCACATGTTTTGCCATCTCCATCTATTTAAAAAAAAATCAGGATTTTAAAAATCACATTGAAAACTGCATCTATAGATCCAAAAAAAAATTTAATAAAACCACATGGATTTATGATGATAAGATCAAGATCTCCTCAAAGTAGTTGCTCAAATATGTGATTAAAGATGTTGTAAATTAGAACAAAATGTGAAATTCATAATAACATCTGCTAAAAAATGAAATCGGTTGAATGGAATGAATTTACAATGAAATTGTTGTGAATCAAAATATACTGATAACGATTTTATAACGGTGTGATTTATGATATAATCGTCACAAATCAAGTTATTAAGAAAAATTAACACAAATTCGTAATCTGAGAATAACATGTTTTTAATAATTCACTAAAAAGCTTTTTTGATTTGTGTGAAAATCCATAGCCAGTAACTGTCGAGACATGAATGACTAAGACATGAATGACATGATGTACAACAATTTCATTGTTATTTCATGCAGTGCATGAAATAACAATGGAATTGTTGTGAATCAAGTGCATAAATGTTTTGTAACTAAAAACTTCTGGATTTTAAGAACTATGTAGAAATTCCTAGCAATAAAGCTGAAAAACCTATAAATTTACAATGGAATTCATCTTAAAACGAGCGAAATAAAAATATGTGAGGTTCGAGAATTCTGTGTCGTTAATATGCTTTAAAAAAATTAAATAAAAAATTGGAGATTTTAAAATTGAAAATTCAAAGCATTAAGACTATGTTAAGCTATTTTCTATACCATTACATGTTTGCCAACAAAGATGAGCCCTGGCTTTTAAAATTCTGATTTTTTGTAAATTCTTAAATTAAATTCAGTCCAGTTTCTCATCAATTAATTAAAGATTATACCATTTAAATAAAGATTATACGCATTATAAATTTGAACAAGGAAATTTTAAAACTAGTTGGAAATGCAAATTTAAACTGAATGTTATTTTTTTGGTTCTCTGTTTGCTTAAGTGGTATCAATCAATCTGACTGGTATTAATTTAATGTATATGTTGAGAATTAAATAAATGATTTATAAGGAGCCATTATTTAAACAAGTGAAACAATGTTCTTTCATTAATTTTATTTTAAAGAAAACTTTATTTTTGGCATATTGTATCACTAATGTTTTTAGCTCTACAAAGGAAAAATAAAGCAATAATTATTTTGATTTTAAATATGTTTTTTGTTGGATTTGTATTTTTTTAGATTAGCTGAAATTAAACAACAAAAGCTTGCTTTAGAAAGGCTAGTTCAAAAAAGTAGATCGGAATGTCCGGAACTGAAGGTATCTAACTATTATTTTCTTATAAATAGTTTTAGAATCATCCTCTGAAATATTTCCAAAATTTTAGGGGTTATGCCTAATTTTAATGTTATTTCCTTAACAGAAAAGAGTTTCCTTTTAGCAAGAATCTATGAATCTCAGTCACCATGGCACCTAAAAAATAGAAGCTTCTTCGCAATATTTTAACAAACTTAAAATCAAATAATGATATGCTACTTTCTATTCTATTGTATGCTGGCTTCGATTTCATGTAGGATGTAATTGTTGCAGACCAAGCTCATTAAAATGTGATTGATATTCCTATATCCTATTAAAAATATTGAGTTTCTTTTTAAAAAAAAAAGAAAGAAAGAAACATGTGGTTGTGACTAAAAAAAGATGTATGATCAGCAAATAAAAACCTAGGAAATCAGGGAAATAAAAAAAAAAAAAGCTAGAAATTTTTTTAAAATTTTTTACTCATTTTCGTAATTTAAGTTATTTTACCATCCATTATACCCACTTTTTTTAGACTGAAATGTATCGCCAAACAGTTGAGCTATCATCAATTTAGCAATACATTGCTTGCAACAAAATTTGTTCCATTATAACGCTGTTAAACTAGAATGCAGCTTAAAACTCTCCTATGGTTTCTAAACAAATGGAGAAGCCTTTTACCTCTATGGAGACTATGGGACTGAGCAGTTTAGGAAAAGTAAAAATTTTGGTGTACGTGGAAGATGGGGTTAGGATATTTGCTCCTGTTTTTAAAAGTAATTTTTTCCCCCTTCTAGTCCATTTATGGTTCAAGCTTGTTTCGATGCTTTGGTCATAATTTTTTTCTTCCTATTTTGACAAAGTAATTCAAAATGTATTAGTATTTTTAACTTTATAAATTTCTCCAAAAATTAGTTGGTTATAATTTAAGAACAATAGAATTTATATTGCACTCTTTTTCGGAAAGCTTTTGTACAAATTTTTTTTTATCCAATGAAATCGAGAATTGTTTTTTTTTTTTTTAGTAGAGCCAACCAATAACACATTTTCTTACAATTTCTAACAACAATGTCTGTCTACAAATTGTTACAATTGTTGCATTAATGCTAATTTTCTAGATTTCATTTTAACCTTTTACAGCATATTTTAATTTAAAAAAAGTTTTTTTTAAGAACTATATTTTAACATTTAATTTTACTTTTTTGTAGGTAAATATTTGATTTTTGATCCGAAATTCAAATTGCGTAGTAATTAGTAATCACAATATCGAAAGTTCATAAATGTTGCTTGCTTACATTCCAGAGATGATATTTCCACTGTTTCACCTTTTACCATAAAAATTGACTAAGACTGAGGAATGCAAAGGAAACATGTTAAATGATGTATAAACATAAAATATATATTTCATAGCTGCCAAGTGTACACATTTTATCGGAACGGTTCCGTTTTTTATGCTTTGTTCTGATAATACGATTTTGGGTCAAAATGTTCCGATTTTTCATCTTATCTTAATTTTTTCTTTTACTCTATGAAGCGATCCATGTCCGATTGGCGAAATCCAATCAAGTCACGTTATCTCTTAGCTCCGCCTCTAGCTCTATTCGTATGTTTGATGACGCATGTACGGGTCACTTTACAGACACCAAGAGGAAATTTTAGCTTCCTGATTCTTTGTCTTTTACTTGCAACTGTACCGGTGTTGAATGTTTACTCAGAACGCATCTCTTCGATTTGAGTTTAGCTTTGAATGTTTTTTCATGTGGTTATCTGAAAAAATGTCAAAAATTCGGCGAAGTCAGTGTTTTCGCGACAATTATAGTGAAGAACTTGATTTCATCAAGAAAGGAGACATCGTACACGTTATGTATTGCTTGCAATATATGGCAAGCATGCTACCGCGTATACAAATATGAAAAAGTCGGCAAAAATTTCTGATTTTGTGTCCACTATTGATCTACAATCAATTAGAAGCGAACTATAGGATTTCTCCTTGAACACAATATTCCGTTAGCTGCTGCGGACCATGCATCAAAGTTGTTTTGTGCGATGTTTCCAACTTCTTCTACTTTGCAGGCAATTTTGATTGCCAAGTCCCAAATGATTCAGCCCTGTTATAGACAAGTGTTTGATGAAAAGTTTTTAAAATCAGCCAAATCTGCTACAACTGTAGCTCTTAACAAGAATAATTGATTATTTTTTATATGCATTTATTGTCACATATATTTGAGTAATAATAAAATATTTTGTTTTTAAATATGTTTTAAATTACTAAAATCAGCTATCATTTCTGTTTAATTAGTTTGTTGAATAAGAATAATAATCAGAAATCTTGTCAGTTGATATGTACTATAATCAGTAATAATTGTTACATTAAATCTTATACAGTTACAATTATACAAACATTTAGTGTAAAGAAGTAAACTTTAATGTCGCGACCGTGTTACGTGTTCATATTTTTTTCCCTGGCAGGTATGATACTTTTTTTATTCAAAGGAAACTTTGGTTCTTTTGTTCTGCTCTGTACAGGTACAAGTTTCTAATTGAAAAAACAAAACAGTTAATTATGCTAAACTTAAAAATCCTATGTTTAGATTGGAATTCTATAAATATTTTAATTTCAAATAAGAAAAAAAAGAATAAAAATTTAAAGAATTTTATCTATTTTTTTAATTGAGTATGCAATAAGAAATTAGACAATTTTGCATTTGCGACATTAATTTTTGTATACTGAATCTGTTAAAATAATATTGCAAATTTAAAGCAGCATTATTTAAACATTTGACTTGAGACATTGGTCTAAAGAAAATATGATCAATGAACTTTATAAAGAGCACTGTTTACATAAAATGCAGTATAAAATGGCTTAATATTGAAATGTAAATACAGTTACTGACAAAAATGTTTTTTCACTTATGAATTTCAATGAAATGAGACTATCCATTAATTAAAATGAATATTTCTGAACGGATATTTAATTATAAAAATTATATTCCATTTTTTAGCTAAACTGTATGGAATATTTTAAAAACAAAGCAAAAGTTTATATTTTAGACATCAGTAATCAGAAAATAACAAAACGTTATCGCACAAAAGTCATTGTATGCTTTAAAAAAAAAAACACACACAATCTGGGAAGTAAAAGCGGCTAATGCACAATGCGAACCACATACCTGGCATCATGCTTTTAGTCTCAAAATCTTCGAGCCTTTACTTTCATGATTCTACAGCCAAAATGCTTTACTTTTAAATATTTGCAAACTTGTTCTTTTATATTTCATCTGTGTAAATTTTATTTTTTTATAGGAAGAAAACATAAAATTGACAGCAGAATTAGAAGACTATAAAACTCACATCTCAAAACTTAACTCAACATTTGCTTTTATAAATGTGGAGAGAAATAAATTGGAATATGGTATTAAAAGTAAGTATTCCATATTTATACTGATGTTTCAAAGTTATACTATATGATAATATCGATAAGATAGAGGGTTTCTCAAAACAGATTATATATAAACAGGAACGATCTTAAATTTGGAATTAGAGCTATTTAAGTATTTCAATTCTTGCAAACCACTATTTGTTAACCTATCTCAATTTTTTCTTTCTTTGTCTTATAACTATTTAGATAATTTAAACGAAATTGAATCTTTGAGAAATGAAGATAATAAAAGATTAGAATTTTTGAAGCAGAGGTTCAAGGATGCATATGAAGGAGTTATATGGTTACAACAAAATTATAATAGATTTAGAGCTAAAGTTCATCCACCAATACTGACTTTGGTAAGAGAAATTTTATTTACTTTTTTCTTTAAAATTCAATGTTTTATAATTATATTGTTATATTAGCAAAAATGAACACTCAACTAAATAAAAAGTTAATTCTTAACAAGGGCTGATTTCCGAAGAGTTTAAAGATAGTAATAAAATTTTAAAATAAAATTATTCTCTTGAATATCAAAGGTTTGTCAAATTTTATAATGAAATAATTGAAGATTTATGACTCACGGTTTTGGAACAGCTGCTGAAATTGAGCCTAACTACTCCAGAATGCATTTTCCCCCCAAATTGTTACTCATAATTGCTGTTTTTTTTTTATATACAAATGTAAAAACTAATACTATTCATTCACAATATGGCCAAGCGAGCACCAAATCTTAGCTAAGGAATTGGTTTTAATGCATCCTGACAGCAAGCAGTATTCATTTTTTCTCTTAAATTATTTTTATCCTGCTTCTCTCATATCAAATGATTTGGAAATATTTTGTATATTCAGTTCGATCTTCTCTCATATTGCACTTTTTCCTAATTCATCAGAATGTAAAAATAAAGTTCAAGGTTATGGCATTTTTCATGTAGCGGTTACATACCTCTAGTATAGCTTATTATTTCTGTGAGTAAGAATTAAAGAGAGGGAAGCTACAAATAAACTTGTTGCTATTTCTTCATTTTAATGATATGCAAAATGGCCAGTGTGTTGCAAATTGGTTTATAATGCAATCAGATTTTGTGTAAAAGTCTGAGATGTTTTGACATTGTTGCTTGTTCACATTATTGTTTTTCAAATACAAGCTTGCTATGTGCTTGCTTGTTTATTTCTATTATAATGTAATTTATGGCATTTATTTGTTTTTCTTCAGGACAATAATATAGTCTTCTTAATAATGTTCAAATAAATTTGTGATCTTGTTCCCAGGTCGTCTTGCTGCTTCTTACAACGCTGTGCATTAAAAAATATGCGTGTAAGCAAACAGAATTAAGCTCCTCAAGTAGTTATTACTAAAACGAAATTCACTTGTCCTAATAATGTATTAAAAACATTTGAATTGGAAAACCATCATGGAAAATGTAAAAAGAAAAGGCTCAATAAATGACCTGAATTTGGCTACTCTAATAGCTTAATTCATTGTGAAAATTCCGAATAAGCATAATTGAAAAGAAATCTTTGAATCAACAGAGGCATTTATTGGGCAAAAAAGAAAAAAAAATATTAAAGAGGCACATAACTTCTAATAATAAGCATATTGAACGAAAATATTCTACTTTCTTCATCATACTTAGTTTAACTCTCCTACAAACCTAATCTTGGTCTGTGTTATAGATTAAAAAACCAATCAAAACGCATGCATTATGAGGCAAAGAAAAACTGTAAAAGCAACACTTACAACTGATATGTAATTTGTTTTTATGTTCAAAAGTAAGCTTTAAAATAAAAATAATAAACAGACGGGAAAAAAATACCTCATAATAGTTTCAATGTGAAATTGTACATGGGCTGCCTTTGTTTCATACCCAAGCTGACACCCATCAATCTGAAGTCGAGTGTGCTTTAGTCTACTACCAGGGATCCGACCCCAGTTCTTCTTTATGAAAGTTGTATTTTATCCACTGAGCCAACATGGCTTTTTTTACATTATAGATTTTCCTCAATAATTAATCCATTGCTATTTGGAACGGGGGGAAAAAATTAAGGATTGTTTCAAAGAAGTTGTAGTGTTTAAAAAAAAATTGTTTTGTGAAAGAGAAGGGACAGAGGCTAGTGTACCAGAAAGAAATCATAATTATACAAATAAAAAATGCTTTCTTAAAAGGTAAATTACAGATGCTAATTATAATATCAATAATAAATCAACAATATTTTATGTTATGTTGTAATTTGGGCCAAAAAAAAATCCTTAAAGTACCTCTTTATTATAAAATCACCTATACTTTTCAGGAAAATAGCATATAAAATAATAAAACAAAGTTTAATTGAATTTTGAAATTAAAGAAAAAAATCTTCTGTACTACATTTTCATCAAATATTAGATTTCAGACTTGATATTATTTAAATAGGTGCTATAAAAGAAAGTTTTTCGTTTTCTTTGCATCTCAAAAACGCTTTTGTCTTCCTTCAAAAGAATAGGGATGCTCATTCCAATATACTTTTTTTATACGCTATATTTTCTTAACATTTTATCTTGAATTTGTGGTTGGTTTTTAAATATTTTTTTAAAATGTCTATATTAGGTTTTTATCTTTCCATCTGATAAATTAATTTACTTATTTTCTAGGATATAATTTTTGATATAATAATATTAAATTTTGACTTTAATAATTATTTTTCATTGATTCAACGCACCTTTGTGGGCCAAGGCCTTCATTAAAACCTGCCTCTTTCATATTGTCATAATAAGTAAAATGATATAGATTACTTAAGTCAATAATATGAGCTTTTTTTATATTTGACGTTTAGTTGATGTAAATTAGGTTTTTATCGATTACTTCTATAGTGCACATTTTTAACATTTTAGGTTTTTTAACAAACTTTTAATTTCTTAAAAAGAATTGAATTTAAGTTTGTATTTAGAACCTTATTTTTTTCTTGAAAGACCCAATTTAAATAAGATTTAGTGAAAACTCTGATTATATTTCTCACCATGTAATTAATTTTTTCTCAAAAGTTTCAAGCTCTATGAAAATTTCTAAAAATTTTTAATATTATTTGTTTTGATTTTGAAATGTTCTAAATAGTTCATTCTTGTTACTTTTTTCAGCTAAAGATAGAAAATGAAGATAACTGTAAATATATAGAAAATTTAATCAGTCAAAGAGACTTAGTTGCCTTTGTCTGTGAAGATAAGGAAGACAACAAGCTTTTAACGCAGATATTGAGAGTGCAAAAGAAGCTCAATGTCAATATAGTGATGGCTCCAGACAAGCCTTTGGATTGCTATAGAGCTCCACCCCTGACAAAGCAATTCAGGTAATTAAACAAATCAATTTAAAAAATGAAATTTTGTTCAATAAGTAAATAAAAAAAAGGAGAGAATTGCTTTCATTTTAATTCAGATAACATTTCACAGTACTTAATTATATTTTATAATCAATCATGATGAACATGATTTTTATTGATTTTTCTCCCTTTTTTTCCCATTGGAAATTTGTGTAATTTTTACGTAACAAAATATTTTTTTAATGTATTGGACCTTTAATATGTTGATCAAAATTTGATCAAGAATGCAGTGTTACAAAAAATTATAAACACATAATTTGCAGCTGATGCTCTATATTGTATAGTTTGTTTGAAGCAAAGTAAATATGCAAATTTTCTGGTGTTACAGTTTTTCCTCCAGGTCCATCTTGATGTGCTGTTGTCCCTCTAAATTATTAATAAACTTAGCATTTGTGCTATAAATTTTTTTTTTAAATTCTAAGTGTGATGTATAGTACAGTAGGGAACCGATTATTCGGAACGATCAGGCCCATCACTATTCCGGATAACTGATTTTTCCGGTTTTCTGAATCGATACAAAAAGCAGTTTTTTTATTGTTAAACCCAACTTAAAAAAACAAAAATTGTTGGAAATAATACATCTTTCAAAAAAGAAAGAAAACTCATAAAATCTTATGAGGAAAAAATTTTTTTTAAAAAAATGGCGGGAAAATTTATCGAATTTCGTTCCGGTTTTCTGATTTCCGGAGAACGGGTTCTGTACTGTATAGAGTTAGGTACTGATTCGAATAAATTGATTCCAACCAGTTGATTCGAATCAGTGATTTGAATCAACTGAGAATCGGATTACTTGATTTTATCGAAATGGATTTAAATTATAATGAATAATTGTTTCTTAAATTTAAGTTAGTTTTATTTCGTAGTAATGCTGTGTCATATACAGTTAAAAATTTCTTGTAAAACCTAAGAAATTCTTGCACATACATTATAAGGGCTTCAGGTATTTCAATTCAAGATTTAGATGAATTCAGATAAAATCCATAAATAAAACATTTCTTTTGTAGTTTCTTAAAATTCGCCATAGTTAAAAGTATTTATAGCATTTAGCAATGTATACAAAATAATTATTCAAAAGAATAATACTTTTTTTCTATCAACATTTAAAGGAAAAATAGTAGACTTTTTTGAAATTTTTTTTGAGCATTTGATTCAAATCATGTGATTCACAGTTAAATTGTTTAAGTCATGTTATTTGAATCAGTTATTCAAAATGAGATCTGAATCACTTGATTCAAATAGTGAACCAAATTGCATGATTTAAATCACATGATTCAAAACATTGATCCAAATGGCATGATTTGAATTACTTGGTTCGAATATTGATCCAAATCGCATAATTCAAATCACTGATATGGCATAATTATGTCCAAATCACATAATTAAATCTGATCTGATGAACCTTTATCTGTAAAAAAGCATTTTTCTACTAAAATATTTTTTTAACATAGACATGAATGCATGTGGTGGTTTGAAATCTGCCTTGAATTGCATACATTCTGATTCTTATGTGTATAAAATGATTTGAACTCTGCTAACCATCAGGGATGAGATTTCTCCGCTTTTTAGCGGATTTCCGCTTTTTTCACTTTTATCTCTTAAATTTCAGCTTTTTTATCAAAAATTCAGATTTTCTAAAAATTTCATTTTTTTTTATAAGTATTCCGCTTTTTCAGAAAATTCACCGATTTTCAAAGAGAAACAGAAACATAGCTACCAATCCTTTCTCATTTTTACTTATTTTAACTATTATCTCCCCTTTTACGCGCAGCAGATAAGATTTTTCGAATTTTTTACCCGCTCTCCAGATAGATCCGATTTTCGTAGTTCAAACGACGCAATTTTAAGATCAACTATCGCGATTCTTGTAAGAAGTAATAAATGTGACTGTTTTTCTAATGACGATTATTAGTATATATAAGTGTTACAACATCAGAGAAACTGGAAGAGAATATATTCAAAACTTACATTCTGTGCTTGCAAAGAAGAAAAAATAGGACTTGTCACAAGATGTTTGAAGATGGACTAACGACTAAATATAGCAAACATAAAAGATATAGCAAATAAAAGCAATCACTTAGAAAGGGATTGAATTTAAAAAAAATTTGGGGGGAAAAAGAGTTAATTAACTCATCATCAAAATTTTATTTATAATTGCTGTTATTTATGCTATAAAATGCAAAATACTTATCAAATAAAGAAACAATTATCTAAGCAGTTGCTGATTGTCATGTAATTTTTCAAACTAAAATAGCAATTTTTGTATGTTAAGGAGTTACTATGTATTTCTACTTCACTGTTATTGATATGTTTCAGAGGGCTGTAGTTAGATTAGACCATAATATGAACATAATGATTCGGTCCATTGTTAAAGTTTTTTTTCCCCAATATAATTTAAAAAGTAATATTACTGATATATTTGCTATAAATCACATAACAGTATTTATTAAAAGAAATGAAATATTAATATATATTCTCAGTTTTAATTTGCTAAACCAGGTAGTTTTTCAAGTAGTAATTGTCTCTTATGCGAACTGAGGAAAAATATAATTTCCAGCTTTATTTTTTCAATTGGTAATTTTTTTTCTTCACTAAATGTTAAGTATCAATATAATCGTTTTTATAATAATAGATCAGTACACAATTGTATGTCAACACATTATTTATTACCTTAAACTGTCTGGAATTTATTATTAAAGGGTTGCTCTTGCGTAAAATTTGGAATCGTGGAACTATCATGGAAATTCAGCTTTTTTGCGTTTTGGCTAATCTCATCCCTGAACCATTAAAAAAATACCTGAAAAATTTAGGGAATTATTATTATTATTTTTTTTTTTTTTTTGATTAAATGAAATATAATGCAGTAAATACATTTCCATAAATTTATATTTCCAGAAAGTATATAATTTCTATTTTAAATTTGACTATGTTTATTTACATGATTAAAATTAATCTTAATTCTGTCTCTTTTGTAACAGGCAAATGGGTATTTTATGCTTTTTGAGGGAAATAATATCTGCTCCTGATGCTGTTATGCGTTTCTTGTGTGAATGTTATAAATTACATATGATACCTATTTGTAATCACACTGCTGAAGAAAAAGAAAAAAATATGCGAGATATACTTCAGAATTTTAGGTCTTTTTTTACAGCTAATGCGAGGGTGAGTTTTTGAAAATTCATCATTAGATTTTTTAAATATTATTTTTATTTTTAAGATTTAATTTGTTATTATTTCCGAGGTAAAAATGATTTTGGTTCCCTTATTAAAAAGAATTCCTTATTAAAATATTTTTTTATTTGAGGTATGGAAAAGTCTAAGAAATTCATTTTAATTAAATGAGGTATAATGTAATAACTACTTCACTATTTATTTCTAGAAAGTATGTTTTTAGCATATAACATGCATTTTTAGCTAGTAGGCCATTAGTGAACATTTTTTAAAAGTTAAAGTATCTTATTTACTGAAATATTTATTTTCTACACACTTTTATTTTGCTCTTCTTCTTTTTTTTAATTTTTTGTAATAATTGGTCACATTATGTTTTCTGTGTTTATTGGTTTATAATGTTAACAATCATTGGGGAGAAAAAGTTTGTGATTAAGGGTGAGAGGTAACGAGGAGTATAGTATCACATTTGGTTGAAGTAAAATATTTATTAAAATTTTTTATAGTATTTTTTTTAAAACTTTTATTTTCATGTTTATTTTAAAATTAAATTTTCTTTCTCCTGATTTTATTTTTTATTGAAAGAAATTGATAGTGTTCAAGTTAAATGTCGAAAATTTAAAGAAAATTAACACTCTTTAAATAAATAATGTAGATCAGTTTCACTAAATTCAGGCAATTGGAAAGAGAAAATAAAAATAACAAAATAATTCAAATTCTATTTAAGGAACCAAAATACTATTGTTTTCATCTGCTCTTTTATTTTAATATTTTATTACTGTTGTAATTTGAGTAAGTTTTTGTTTTGTATTGTAAATTAGTTTTTGTAAAAAAAAAATTTCGTACAAAGTAACTATATATATCATGATACTTACGAATGTCATTAAAACACATAAAAGTTAAAAGTAAAATCTAAAATATGGTCTGCTATGTAATTCTTTGTTACTAAACTACAAATGCAAAAGCTTTAATATGATAGGATATGTTACTTCCATTCTTATTTATTTATTTATTTTTACAAACGGATTATTTTATAAAATTATTTTATAACGAAAAATATTTAAAAATTTATGTTTTGCACCTAATTTTTTATATTGAGAATATTTGGAATTAAAAATAATAAGAAATGAGAAAAATGATGATTATAAAATGTCTCTGCTAAGAAATATTATTTTCTACTATTACTGTTTTACTTATGTTGAATGTCAAGCACTCCCATTTGTTAACCACTGTAGAAAATTTAAAATTATGTCCATTACACACACAAAAAGAAAAAGCTCTACAGTAATGAATAAACCTTGCTAGTTTAAAGTTTCAGATCTCGGATGCACCTGTAAAATATTTTATGTTTTAATATTTTAAAAGAAATTTATGTTGTTTCAAATATTATGTATTTTTATAATTTGGTTATAGGAAAGCAGGATTTTAGTATCAAGAATTAGTCATGTTAAAAGTTTTCAGATTTTTTTTACTTTTTTTTTCATTATTTTTCATTAATTTGTAAAAAATAACATTTTATAATTCTTAATTCTTTGTGTTAACTTTTTGTATGCTTTTTCTTTTAAAAAATTTATACCCTTGAAATGTTTTTTTTTTTTTCTGTTTTGTCTAGTATTCTGGGAAATATTCAAAATATGGCAATAAAAATTTCAGCATGAGAAGAGATCCAATACAGTAAGTTCTAAAAATATTTTGCAATCATTAATTTTGATTATTACTCTTTTATATAACAATCTCATTTGTAATAATCATCATCCCTCCTAAATATATTATTTTTTATTTTAAAATTTAGTATTGAGATGCTGATTTTTTCAAGTGATTTTACTTCCCTAGTTTTAGCTGATTGTCATACTTTGGGAAATTCCCTAATCTTATGATAATCTCATCTATAATATTCCTGATTGTCTATATAAACCTAAATGATTTTTTTTTTTTAACTTTAAGAATTTGTATTGTATGTACTTAGAGATGTTGCTTTCTTAAGTGATTTAAAACTCCTCAATGTTGTGAAATCACTTTTTCTGAGCTGATTATGTATCCAGCAAATCAAAGAGTCAATGCATCTGCTGATCTTACTCTACCCAGAATAGTAATAAGAGGCAAAAGTGTTTGCTCATTCAACTATCAGGAGCGAAGCAATAAAGTTTCAAAAAACATTATATTTTCAGTTGGGAAGTTTTCTTATTTAATTTCAGCTTAAATTTAAAATTGTCTCCTTATAAATGTACAAACATATCTATTGATGAAGTTAGTTTGTTTATGGTTTATTTTTTTCAAATTCAATATGTTAGAAGTAATACGAAAACTTATAGGTAACTATTTGTTGGGAATGTACACTTTTTGGCAATAATAATTTTTTATTTGTAGTAATTCATTTGCTTAATGGTAAATTTTAGGCGCAAGAGGATTATTCCAAGTTCCAGAGACCACTCTGATCAACTACAAGAGCTTTTAGCTAAATCCCAGGTATTATAATTGATATTTAAAAAATTTTCTATGTTTGCACATAACATATATTAAGATTACAAAACATTTGTTTCATAATAATTTCTTTTCAAAGATCTTTCATTTTGCTTCAATTCATATTGAATCTATAATAGCACTGTATATGAAATATGTGTTTTACTTCTGAGTAATTATATAACATCAAGTTTATGTCCTCCAGGAAATGATAGCATCTTTAATATAGAGTTAGTAAATTTTTTTTACACATTATTCGATTTCAATCTTAAGTTCAATCTATTTCGAAAATTTTCCTCACCTTGGAAAAGATAAAAATAAGAAGTCTAACACAATTGTAGTGTAACTATGACTTTGTGCAGTAAGAAGAGAAAAAAATTGAATTAAATTCAAATGAATTTATGAAAAGTTTATTATAAGGGTTTCCAAATTTTCTACCTTAAGAGCCACAATGACTTTGCCACTGAGTCCCAAGAGCCAAAACCTACAAGAAAGGGTCATCTGAGCTTCCCTAGCTTTAGAAGCTTTTGAAAAATGCTTATTTTTTCACAGCTTTAAACTATTTTAAGTATTTTTTATACATTATTATATTGTTGCTTGATAAGGCATTTTGTGTATTCTTACTGTTTTGCTAAGTAGCTAGCTCATTATAATAACATTCTCTAGTTAAGAAATATGTGCTAATTTTTGTTTTGGAACTAGTTAGGTAGTGAAATATTTATGGCTTCAATGTGTGTCACTTATTGTAAGTTGGCAAATTATGTTACTTATTGTAACATGACATTTTTTAAACTAATTTCCTATCAGTTATTTAAGTTAAAATGTTCACTTTCATTCTGTATATAAAATATTGTCTTTCTTCTGATTATTTTTCTGTAAGATTTTCTCACATTAAAAAAATCCAATCGAAATGTGATGGGCCAAATACTTGGCAACTTAGACCTGCTATTGCGGGCTATAGTTTAGATACATTTGATTATGTACATTTACTATATGTTAAGCTTCTCTGTTAAGTTCATGGGTGCAAGTCTTCCGTCCCCAGGACGGATTTCCGTCTTTCGAAAATGTCCGCGGACGGAAGTAAGACGGAAACAAGACTGACTCGATGACGGAAATCGGAAATTTTTTTTTTCTGTCCCTAAAAATATTTTTTAGGTCTACGTTATTGGTCTACTCTCTTATGTCCTGTTGTTATTTTATCAAAAGACAGATGAATAAATATTTTTTGTACAGTATTTAAACTTGATGTATTATGGTAAAGCTTTCTTAGATAGTTTGCATATGTCGAGGGGGTATTGTATATGTTAGGTATTTCAGTCAAAAAAATTTTCAGTCTTGGCCTTTTTTCCAACTTGCACCCATGGTTAAGTTTAACTAATGAACATCAGTGCAATAAATAATGTCATTACATTTACATTATTAATTTCGAAAATGCATTATTACCATTTAGTAAATCTGACAAATAATTTCAAAAAGTAATAAAAGAAGAAATAACAAGAGAAGAATTGTAAAAAATTGCAATAAAACTGTAGATTGATTCTTAAATTCCTCATCATGTTTATATAGCTGAAAATAAAATAATGTGCTACTTCATTGCTTTCATATTATTATAAATCAAGTCAAAATAATAATTTAAGTCAAATAAAAAATCATATCATGTTACAGTCAAAGTTAATAATTAATTATGAAAAGTATTGTTTGTGTGACAGTATAGATGTGAAAAATCCAACTGAACATATTGTTGAAATAGGATAAAGAAACTAGAAATAGCTTTGCCTTAAAGCATAGTTAAATTTTTATTTTATTTATTTAAGTATTCAGTACGTTGTTCATATTTTAAACTAGGTAATGTTTTCAGGCTATGAAATCTGAGTTTGAAAGTTATACGTCCGAACTTAAAAAGTTACATGAAGATAGGAAAACACGTGAAAGAGAAGAAAATGATCTTCGAGAAAAAAAAGTAAGCTTTATAGCATTTTTAGTTCTTGCATTGTTATTAGTGTTATTTACAGGTCATTTTTCATATAAATATCTACATATACATACATATAGACAAAGCCTGCTTTAAGCCCCTGGGAAAGATGTCTGAAGCAGCTAGCTCTATTTAAAAGCCCTCTTTCTTTGCTATCGAGGATTTTTGATTTTCATTTTCTCTATGTTTTTTGTTCTAATAAATTTTTGATGATAAAGTATCACTCAACAAAGAAATTGCTTATTTTGGAATTAAGGATACTACTAAGATCAAATTATATTTTCTCTTATTTATGAAAAAATATTAGCTAATTTTAATAATTTTCGTGTGATTCAAAATTTTATCTGATTTTATTATTGTTAGCATTATCAGCAAGACAGGATCAGTTTTGTAATTTTTAATTTCGTTTCGACATGTTATTAAAAACACTGCAAATATTAGGACTGGAAATTAATGTCCTTTCTGTGCATTTGATATCAAGATTTTATTTTTAATCAAAATTGTATTAACCCTCGTTAGCAACAACCGTTCAATGCCGGATTGAAAATGGATCTAAAAAAATTTATTGGTTTTTAAGGCTAACGAATTAATCACCAAAACGACATTACTTTCTGGTCTCCCTAAAATCATTATTGTAATGAATAAAATTTCAAAATCTCAAAAATGAAAAATAAATCTTACTAACTTCACAATTTTAAATTAAAACTTTTCCAACAACAACGCAAGTGCATGACTCTGCACCTATGTCCCACGAAAAGCATCAATCCTATATAAGATCGTGGCCAAGAGACAAGTTACAAACAATATATTTTTCTATTTGCCCTTTACAAAATATCCATCCATCAGCTGTAACCTAACTAGACCTTGTTAAAAATAAAATAAAAAACTATTATCTTATAAAAAAAATGAAGAAAAAAACTATTACTTTAAACCTTATAAAAAAAGCAATTACTTGAAACCCTCTTAAAAAAAAAAAAATGAATTAAATAACTATTTTTAAAAAATTATGTTACCTGAAAATTTATAAAAACTGCTATTACTTGAAACTGTAATTAAAGTAATAATGTCAGGAAATCACGCAATTTAAATTGGGGTTTTGAGGGGTAATGTATGCATTGAGGCACAAAGTTGTTGGTAGCAGATTGTATTTTATTAAGTTTGATTAGAAAGACATCGGGGGGTCAGAATACTAAGTTAGGGCTTACAAGAAGAATAGCAGTCAAATTATTATATATATTTTTTTCTGAGGTTTTAGATTGATTTTTTTTTCTTGGTGTGGATGCAAGGCTTAATTAGACTTATTGGGCCATTTAAGTTTCGTTTTTTATTTATTTATTTATTACTATTATTATTATGGTAAAAGAAGTACATATTCTTACAGGAATCTTATTAGATTTACTTCCAAGCCTGAAAAAGTTTATATACTTGGATGATAGTAGGTGAATGAACATCATTAATGATATTTCATCTGAGGTGCGAAAAAGAATGTGTCGAATGAAGGTTTTTATGGCCTTAAAAATATTTAAAATCATATCTGATCAGTATGAAATGCTTTATGCTTATGCTTTATAATTGCATAAATTAACGAATACTAACTTATGCAGAAACATGGACTCTAGACTGAAGGATTAGGAAATACTGGCTATTTTTGGAACGGAAAAAATACTCCAATGTATTCTAAAAGGAATACAAATTGATGGTATCTGGCATAAAACAATCGACTCGTAACTGTATGAGTAAGAGATATAAATAACCAGATATTGTGAAATTTATTAAAATACAAATATCAAAATGGGCACTATACCTCATCAAAATGGAAAACAGATATGTTAAAAAGGTTTTTATGGCAGATAGGTCTTGATGGTGGCTGGGTGGTGCAGTTGGTTTGTCGTCAGCCTTCTGAGCCCAAGTCTGCGGGTTCGATCCCTGGCCCAGACACCGGATTTTCGGGATGCAGAAAATCCTCAGCGGCCATGTCGTATGATTATGCGGCATGTAAAAGATCCCTGGAGTGTCTTATTGGCTCTTGGCATTTTGGCAAAATTAAATTCCTAGTGCACTTTAGCATCCGAATAGAGTCTCGGTGCTGCCATCTAGTGTGGCAGAAACTAGACATCCAAAACATGACCAACAGTGTCTCACCCATTGTGGTGGTCCTGAAAGAGTGGATATCACCTCTGGAGAACACACTAGGTCTGCTCATCGGCAAGACTGATTGTGCAGCTCATTGGAAATAAAATTAAAAAAAAAGGTCTTGATGGAAATATGTTAAGATGGCCATGATCTACATTGGATTGTGGCACCATTTTAGAATCAGAAGAATAACAGTTTGGATTTAAATATTATTTGGGAAAAAATGATAAAAAGAACCATACCTTTGCAGAAATGACTGAGAAAATATGCAAATAGGCAAAACATATTCTCCTCTTATTCATTGAGTGCGGAGCATTAAGTATTCTTAATAATAATTAATATTAATTATAATTAATATAAATTATGTAGTGGAAACCACAATTTTGACTTCACTAACTGAAGATTCAACTTAAATGGAACCGCTTCAATGCTGGAATGTTATTTTTATTTTAGAAAAATTTTATTAATTAATTTTTTTGTAAAAACTATTTTTACTATGAAAAAAATGTTAAATGATTTATAATTTCAGGGTTGGTGCTCAGAAGGAAGAACCTGGAAAATACAAGGAATTTAAAAACCATCAAAAATAATGGGGGAAATGCAGGGAATATTAAATCTTTCCTTACAAACTAGAAAATTCAGGAAATTTCAATTCTTATTTTCGTTTTCAAAAGAATGCTGACCTTAGAAAGCGCAATCTATTGGATATTTAAAAATGATAGTTCAGCCGTACTATACATAATTTACTTTAGCAATATTTGTTTAAGCTGTTTTAACTATGTTGTTGTTCCAGCAATTAAAGCTAGTATAGTTATCGTAATGAAAGCTCACCCAAGAGCAAAGTAATGGTGTGTTTCCTCTTAATGTATTGTAATACTTAATTTATTTTATAATATGTACAGGGAAAACCAATTGTTTTCCAGATTTAAGTGGCAACCATGAGTTTTAAGTTTATATCTGTATGTATAATATATTTTATTGTTGTATTTTTTATTTTCTTAGAGAGCTGTTGTTGAGAAATTGAGAGAACATCATACATATGAACGTCAACTTGTACAAAAAACAGAGACTTATGAAAGAAAGAAAGATGAAATCATAAATGAAGAAGATGAGAAAATAATTCTCATGAAAAAAATTCAAGAAATAAACTCTAAAAAATGTTTCATTCTGAAGAAATTTAATGAATTATTAGTGGTAAAACTTATTTGTATTTAATATTTACATTTTCTTAAGACTGGTGCTATTATTATTAAATATAGAGAAAAAAAATAGTTTCATATCTTTATAAAAAAATATTATTTAAAATTTAGGATGGTCATAGAAAATATTTGAAATTTAACTAAAATACTCATAGGTAAAATTATTTTAAATTTAAACCGTTAAGGTTTCAAAAAAAAAAAAATATTCGAAAAATTCTTTGAATTGTTTTTTTTTTTTTAATTTCACCTCTAATTACAAGTGTTTTGTATAAGAGTATGACATAACCAAAAAATTATTAATAAAATTTAAGAGAATAGTTTCGGGGAAACTCAATAAAATCATTCTGGAAAAGTCAGATAACTTTTTTTTCTAATTGTTTGTGGCTACCTGTATACTGTAATTTGTTGCTAAAGATGATTTGTTGTCTTGATATTTTATACAGTTTCAAACGTTTGTCATTGAAAATAACAAAATGTTTCTATACCACAATTTTTGAAGCTAGTAAGGCATAACAATATACTTTTTGAGTTAAAAAATTATTATACTACAACTGTTGCATTTTTAAAAATTTAAACGCAAATTTTAACTAACATGTTTTCGATTGAAATTGTTTACTATTACTTAAATGTTAAGTATGCTTTAAAGTTTGAAGATAAGGGTATTAAGTTAAAATATTTTAAGATCTTAAACTGCATAAATTTATGAGTAATGATATATAAATTTTTTTAATCCTCATATTCAACTTCAGAACAATTTTTCTCCTCTGTCGTTTTATTTTATGATGTTAAAAAATTTTTGTGAAAAGTAAATGGTACTTTTAAACTATTCCTGTAGTATACTAATTTTTTTTCCTGTGCAGTACAGAACCCGTTATCCGGAAATCAGAAAACCAAAAAACCAGAATGAAATACGATAAATTTTCCCGCCATTTTTAAAAAAGAAAATCTTTTTTTCCTCATAAAATTTTAGGATTTTTCTTTCCTTTTTGAAAGGTTTACCTTATCATTTCGGAAATAATCATTAATCATCGTTTCTTCTTCGTTTTAAGATTATTTCCAAATATTTTTTTTTAGTTGGGTTTAACGATAAAAAAAAACGGCTTTTTGTAGCGATTCAGAAAACGGGAAACATCAGTTATCCGGAATAGCGATGGTCCCGATCGTTCTGGATAATCGGTTCCCTACTGTGCTATTAATTTTTCATGCCTGGTAATACTATTATGTAAAGTTATGACTTAATTTTATGTTTAATGTTGGTATCTGGAAAAATATTAATAGAATATTTATCTTTATCCAAAGTCATATGTAGATATATGACTTTTACATTGTAGGCATTAACTATTTTATTGTAACAATAATTCTATCTTCTTTTTTATGAAAAAGTTTTTATTAAAGTATTCAGAATTTAAATACATGTATAACATCTCTGTTAATTTAGATCTTAAATTTGTCAACAGAGTCTTTAATATCCTCTGTTATATATTTAGGACTTCATAAAGTGTAAAAAGAAGAGACTGACTAGTAATTTGAAGGCAAAGTTGCTTGAAAAAAGTATATTCACTTTTCAACGACAATTGAAAGAAAAAAAAGAACAACTCGCAGTGGATGAGGTAGTAAAGTACAATATAGTTTTAAAAAGTGTTTCATATGGATGTTATTAATTTGCTGTTACAATTGAACTCCCCACCCTTACTTTCCTCTAAACTTATATAATAAATCTTTAATTGTGTGCAACTGCTAGTCCAAAAACAATATCTTGTTTGTGGTCTATGTTCTTTGCAGAGAGACGAGAGTACAAATCATGTAATCTCATTTTGTAGCAAATTGTTTAAGGACTAATGAAAATAAATTTTGTACACCATATAGATTATTTAAGAGAATAAAGGTAGCTTTTTTTAGTCCAGAAATATCACAAAATTTAATTCCTAGTCATTGCAATAAAGTTATTTTGCGCCTTTCTTGTTTCCTAAAGTTAAATGGTTTCCTACGGTTCAATAATTTTTTTCAAATTTTTTGTCTGTCTCATAAGCAGTATTTGATATTGAAACAGTTAGCCAGGGTTCGTATTCATCCACATTTTCCTAAAATAAAATATTCTGTCCTTATTTGTCCTGATTTTTAATATTTTTTCTATTTTTTTCTTTCTTTTAAACATATTTTAACACACAGTGATTTTAAAAGAATCTTTTGGATTTTTTTTTAAAAAATGTAACGGCATCAACTTTTGTACTTAGGTCCAGAAAATTCAAGTTTCAATATTGCTCACAATACGATGTACACCGTATACATGGTTTTTAAAATCATTTTGTTTCAGCTTGTTTTTGTTTTAATTTTTTCTTTAAAAACCTTCAGTGTTACTCCTGTTTTTTTTAAAATAATATTGTGGAAAATGAATTAAGTATTTAACATAATGAAACATAATTTTCAAAGCAATTTGCAACACTGTTTTTTAGCTCTTTGTTTCCTCTTCTTAAAAATAGTATGTGTATATTGCACAAAAAATATTCTTTTTGTTGTGAAATGTTATGCTGATTTTTATTTTTTACCTCTACGAACCTTGAGTATACATACATTTGTATATATTTTGTGTGTGTGTTAAATGCTGTTCTGATTCATATCTGGAAAAATGTGACACCTGAGTTGTCATTTCTATGCTAATTTATTCTTATTGACCTACAAAAATGGTAATTTAATTGCATTATGTTTTGCTGTCTGTTATGAACTTTGTCAAATCTCATATGAACTACATATTTACAGTATTATTTTGAATACTATCCTTGGAGCTATATTGCAATTCAAATGAGGTAAAAAAAAACAACATAAAAATTGTCCAAAATAACTTCGTTTTATGATAATTTTTGTGTTTTGAACTGCATAGAATTGTTAAAGAATAAATAATACATACAATCATTTAAAAAATAAACACTCTTGTACAAGTCAATATTGTATGTTAGAAGTCTCTATCTGATGAAAGACAAATTATCTGGAATTGTTGTTGGAATCCACAGAAATTCTTTTTTAACCCTTAGAGCCTTAGTCCTGGATTTTTTCAAAACTATCTACTGCAGGCTTGCCAGCTTCTTAAAACTACTTTTCTCTGTGTTATTCAATGAAAAATTAGTGTTTGACAGGAAAATTTCAATACAATTTTATACAGGGACTCAACGCTTGGAGAATTAAATGTTCAGATATTTTTGAAGAAAAAAAAATCATAAAATAAATGGTGTATTTTTAAAAGACTAATAATATTGAAATAAAAAAATAAAGCTTAACTCAAATTCTTTCAGATCTTACCAATAAACTTAAAAATAAATAATTAAATATATTTTATCATGCTAAGCAAAGTTTCATACTATATTACAATAACAATTAGTTATCCAATTAACTATTTTTTGAGAAAAATAAGTGAATTCTAATTAAAATAATGATAAAGAACACAATGCCTAACTGTTGGGGTGCAATAATATACAGTAACTCAAATTGCTAGATTTCCCGTAGTTTTAATATAATTTCTTAAGAATTATGAATTATGTAAAATAAGTCTCTTTTTTTATGAAAGATTTCTATTTTTAATTTTCCTCAAAAAAATTTTTTTTTAATTTTTTTGAAGTTTTTTATGTTTTAAGTTTGCAGAAATAGACTTTTAATCCAACTACTGAAAAATATTAAAACTCATTAAAGATTTCTCATAATATTTTAATTAGAGGTTGGAATCTCTTCATGTATGGCACATACGATCTAATCAACTTGAATTAATTTATCAAGCTGATTAATTTTTCATTTTAAGCTTTTTCATATTTCTCTTCAGACTCTTTTATTTTATCAAATGTTGATTTTATTCAAATCTATTTTAATTTTTTTTATATATTTTTAAATTATTGTTAATGAAAAATTTTTGATCAACGTTTTAAAATAATTCTCTTGAACATATTGATACAGTACTTAAAATACTTAACTATTTCATTAATTATATAGAGAAATCTGGAAAAATTAAAACAACATAGAGCAGCCATTGTAGAAAAGGGATTTGCTTTTCATAATGAAATTAAAGGATTCTTACAAGAACTACAAGCTGTAAGTCAATATTTACTAATAAATTTTGCTGACTTTCTTCTATTTTTTGTGAATTATGTATTCAAGTTCTGGAGTATTGTTTTTGTCATACTTAAATTGACAGCTATATTTCTTTATGTTTTTAATTTTCCTCCTTTAAGACTGGCTATAGACTTGCATATGAAATTTTATGTTCCTGATAATTGTAAGAGTTTAAGTAAGCCTTTATTTACTGTTTGTTTATGTACAGTACTCCCAAAGATTGTTGAAGGTTTGTTATTCTTGTAATAATGGTAGACATAACAATTTAGGAGGGCTTAATTTTCTTCATTTCATGTGTTTTCCACTTGTACTGATGTGAGACTAGTAGTTTTAGAAAATATAAATTGTATTGTGGCATGCTCACAAATTAAAATTTAAAGTATTCTAAAATTTATACTTAAACATAATAAAATATTGAGAACTGCTTGATTTCGAGGATTTGAAATGTGAAATGTAATACATTATTATTACATAATAATATATTACATAATGTGATAGAAATTTATTCTAATTAGTATTTTTAACTAATAAATGGTATGTTTATTTTCTGTACCATATAAGTACAGTATTCTTAAATTTTATTGAGTTGCAAACTCTTTTTTTATTATTTTTTTTAAGCATTGAATATGATCTCAGGTAATTTACTGTCAAAATAGTTAAGTCTTTTGTGACATAATATCTCCTTGTTAAGTAGCAATTATTTTTGTAATCATAGAAAAATAAACAAAATTTGTTCCTTTTTTAAAAATTATTTTGCCCCTTAATAGAATATTTGTAACTAGTAAACATCTATAACATTTACTGTAGGATTAAAATGTATTTATACATTGACTTTATCAAAATTACTTATTAATTTTCTTTACATGTCATAAAATGATATTATATAAAATCTGTATTTTTATTTTAGCTAAGCATTTACATTCTTTAAGTGTGCCTCATTTTTTTGCTGTGCTTTGCTCATTGAACATGAACCTGACAAAAAATGAAACAATCCTCTTGAGTCTTATTTTTGTCTTTAAAGTATTAATAAAAATAGTAAACACCCAAAGGGGTAGACATTGAGTGTTTTGAAAATGAGCAAAAGGTTGAGATTTTTTTTATGTAATTATTATGATGTGATATCCTGTCCCTTTTTGTTTTAAGTGTGGCAAAAATGGAATTATTTCTTTCTTTTTTAATCCATTTGAAGAACATTGTTTTTAGAATTTTTATTTTAATATATTCTTTTTCCTACCTACGTTGAGGTCATAATGGCCACTTTAACCATTTTTCTTCTAACATCCCAGTACAAACTAGCCTTCATGTGAAAGTTGTGAATGATCAAAGAATGAGTATTGTTGCTAAGAGATGGGCAAACAGTCACATGTTTAAGATTTATTTTTCCTCTCCTGTTGGGGAGATCCATGGGAATTGGATTGGTAATGAGACTGGATCATAATTTGCTGAAGACATATGGTTTGGGCTGCAGTTACTCTTTAAGCACTACCCAAGGAGCATGTGAGAATTAGAGTACACACTATTAGAGTACAGGCACAAGTAACACTACTCCCATGTTACTTTTTTTTTGTTGGTGTCTTTCGAAGCAGCTTTTTTGTGTGTCGGGGGTTTTCTTTCAACATTTTAGAAAAAGTTGTATTGTCATCAGGTATGAAACTGCAGGTGAAATGATTGAAGCTTGTTAACAGGAGCAATATACCATTTGAGATTAGAATGTTCTAGCTGGACAGAATGCTGTTAAAATTCTTTATAAATAAATTCCCATTGGTGATAATTTAAATTTTCATTGTTGATTGTTGCCCGAAAGAGAACTCTATTTAAAATTTCTGTGTTCCATCTAGTTGGAAAATTTTCAAAATGTCTATTGCAAGATTCCACTCCCTCGCACACACGAAAGCAAGTAAATAAAAACATAGTAGTAAAAAATGTATGATTTTGCTGCACTGAATATAGAATGTTGCTTAAGTTTGTGTATAACATCTCCAATTTGGCTTTTGTTCTTTTAAAATCAGTAATTAATTCAATTTCAGAGTTCAAAATGTTTTGTGCTATGAATTCTAAAAATTTATCTTTTAAAATTTGCTTAGCTTGGACTTTGTTGTGAATGTTTTTGTTATGGGTTCATGGTTGCTTTGTTTGCTTAACTTAATTTTTTAAATACTTGAAGATTCTAAACAAGAATGTAAAGTCTGATACTCTTCTCACGAATAAACTGTTATCCTGTTCTGATGATTCTGTGTCCCTGCAATGTAATAAATTTGGAAATCTAGATGAATGTTCTATTCCCAGTTTACCAAAGCCTTTAATGAAGGTAAATGTCCTTGTTAAATGTTACATTTCTTTTTAATGACGCATATTATTGGAGTTTAAAACTATAGTTACATTACCAATTAAAAAGGGTTGAACCTTGAAAATTCAAAAGCCTGGCCACCTTTAGAGTGAGGAAATGTATGCATTTGTTTAAGGTAGATGATATAGGTCATACACATTGAAGTAAAAGATAAATATTTTAACCTTAGGGGCATAAACTCATGTTAAAGAAAACGCTTGCATGGATATGCTTTAGCTGCTCTCGCTGAGAACTTAGCAAAATTTGGAACATATCTGTATTTATTTTTGTACCTGCATGTCACTCTGCATATGCTTCAGTGGTGTTGTAGAGAAAAAAAATTATGTAATCAGCCCTGGAGATATTCAACATTAAATGATTTTGGCTGTTAACTATATATTACTTGACCATTACTTAATACGTAATCCTTAATTCTTATTTGCAGGACATTTTTAACTATCAAAATAAACAAGTCTCTCTTCTTTTTAAAAAAAATAATAATAATTAACATTTGCGATGTTAAAAAGAAAGTATTAATATTTTTTTCTTCTTTATTTCCCTTTGCTGCTTTCCAATAGCTAAACATTTATTCTACTTCAATAAGCAAATTAAAGAATTCTGGAAAAATCTATTTTTCAGAATTAGAAGTCCTGACGATTCTGGATATGTAACTTTCCACTCTATATAGTATTAGAGTTGTCCTTTATTCTAAAAAATTAAAAAAAAATGTAATTTAGTTAGAAATTTGAGCTTACAAACATTTTAAATTCTGTCTGCTACTTCTATGTATCTAATGTTTTTCTTTCCTGCAAATATTTTTAAATGTAATGTCATGTCTGTGCTTAAATTTGTCAAGCCAATAATTTATACTTTAAATTTCTGTAGTGTCTAACTTCCATATACTTCTTGTGCCTTTTTATTATTAATTATCCATTTACAGGAACAGTAGTTTTTTTTATTCTTACCGAAAAAAACAAATTGAATTTAAAATTTCATATAAATTAGTAGTTTATGATACTTTATTTATTTATTTCTCCTTTAGCACAGTACTTGCTTGGTCTTTACTTAATCCTAATCTCTGTTCTAGGTTTCCGTTGCTACATTAATTAGATAAACTTTTTCTTCTAATGTTAAATTTTTCTTGTTTGTAGCTCTGATAAATAACATGTGAAAGTAACACCTAATTACAATGGTCACCCTGAATTACTTTACTAATTATTAGATCTTTACTCTCTAGAAATCTATCTTAATAGTTTAAAGAAGTGACCTAAAGTATGCCAAGTAATTAGCTCAGATGATATTTGAGTTACAAAATCAGACACAAAAGCACACTTTCTCAGAATGAACATACCTTTTTTTAGGACGGATTCAGATTTTGGACCCCCGAAATATAGGAGGTAGCCGCAAGCTGGAAAATATGGTCCCCATAGTTTGGTCAGGATAGCGATCCGAAGTTTGGACCTCATAATGTTAATTTTATTGTTTGGATATTTCACCATATCTCAAGAACTTTTTAAACGAATTGAAAAAAAATTTGCCCGCAATTATGAGATTCATTTATCCAAAGATAATTCCATGAAAAATGTTTTTTTTTAAATATTTTATCTTTTTATTACTTCACTCAATAATAGTCGAAATTTTTTTTAATTGTAAGATATACAATTTTTTACATTTTTTTAAAGTGTCTTACAAATTAGTTGAGTAGTTCCTGATTCAATTTTAAAAAAGTCGTATGTTTAAAATTTGATTTCTCAGGAACTATTCAACCGATTTCTCTCAAATTTTGTATTTTTCATATTAAATTATTTACTTTAAAATGATGTAAAAATTGTATACCTTACAATTCAAAATTTTATGGACTATTATTAAATAAAATAATAGGAAATATTAATTAAAATTTTTCATTTCGCATAAAAGGTTCTTAAGATATGACGAAATACGCAAGAAATAGCATTTACATTATGAGGTCCAAACTTAAGATCACTCTCCTGACCTAACTATAGGGACCATATTTGCCAGTTTGCCGTTACTCCCTATATTTTGAGGATCAGAAATCAGAATCACTCAGAAAAAAGGTATGTTTATTCAGGGAAAGTGCGTTCTGTATCTGGTTTTGTAACTTAAAATATCGTCTGTATTAACTGATTAGCACATTTGAAGTCACCCCTTTGAACCATTAAGTTTGAGCTTTAGAATGTGAAGAACTGATCATTAGATCCATAGGTAATAAAGGTGGTCCGTTTTGTTTTTGGCACATTGTACATACAGGGCTGCCTGTCCCATCTAACAAAATTAAAAGAAATCTTCTCTCATTTAAGCAAAGAAAAAAATGATTTAAAACTTTTTATTTATTTTAACTTTTACAATCTTTTAGTTATATCATTACACAATGCAATGTTAACTGAAAAGCTGAGTGGATAAAGCAGGTAAGTGGCATTTTCGAACTAATTTAGATTTCTTCAGGAAAGTTCATATTTTAGTCTTATTTAATTCGATAACATTCATTTATTAATTCCCAATATCTCAGTGGATGAAGAAGTAAGTGACAATATTTGAGTGTTTTTGGAATGGAAGAACGTTTGGTAAAATATGTCAAACAAGTAAATGTACTTGACAGGAATTAGTCATCAAACATCTCTAGAAAATCACTCGCTTAGCATCAAAGATTAATAAACTAGGAGTTTGAAGGAGTATTAGGAGTTATCTATTCTATATTACTTTATTTTTTATTTTTTTAAATTTATATTACAATATTTTATTATTTTATCATGAAAATTTAAATTAGATGAAAGAGAAATAAGGAGAAACCTTATAAGGAGGAGTTAAGGAGTGTAACTTTTGTTCTAATGTTCAAAATAATTACTAGTTTATTATAATTACTAGTTATAGATATTCTGTCTAGTTAGAATAAATATAAAACAAAATTAAAAAGTGAAAAAGAATTTTTTCCAATTAAAATTTTCTTTGGATTATTAATTTTAACGAAGATTATTACTTCTAACATTTGAATAACAAAGGGCTTATCAATAATGTTTAAAATGTATTGTACATTGCACAAAATAAAAAAACAGACTTCCCTGAATAAATTTTAATTTAATGATCGGATCTTCACGTTCTAAGACTCAATTTTAAATATTCAAGGGATTGACTTCAAATATTCTGATTAATTAGTGCAGACTATATTTTAAGTTACGAAATCAGACACAAAAACATACTTTTTTTGAATTAGCATACTTTTTCCCCCCAACGGATTCGGATTTCTAACCTTTAAGGGAAAGTACGTTTTTGTGTCTGATTTCGTAACTTAAAATATCGTCTGCACTAAGATTACTTGCACCATTAAAATTGAGTCCTGGAATGTAAAAATCCAATCATTAGATCAAATTATTCAGGGTGGTCTGTTTATTATTTTGCGTTGACCAAAATGTATTACCAAAATGTTGAGCATATATCTTAAATATTTGGCAAAACTTACGGCAACTTTTCGTAAAAATCAGACAAGGTCAGAGTTCTCAAATCAAGTCTACATATGAACAAATCGCAGAGATAGATTGTTAAATTTTTTTGTTACGTCCCTCCCCAGAGATTGTTGTGCTCATGCAAAGTATATTTTAGTAGAGACTGATCAGAGTTCCGTTAGTATTGAGCTAACCATAATAGGTTTACGTGCTTTTCTATTTTATAAGAATGCTGATTTGAGATTGCTTAACAAAAATCTTCTCTAAGGTTAATTTTTTCTTGTTCTTTTCGCAAGAATTCTCTTGTCTTATAGAATCAAAGTTAAAAAGCTAAAAATGAAAAAGTTGCATATAATAATTATCGGAAGTAATTGTTTAGTTCCGAAATTATGCTGATGACATAAATTATAAAGAAAAAATCAGAGTTGAGCAATTTATTATGATCTTGAGGTTTACCATGATTGAAAAAATGCCTGACAATTATATAAATATTTTTATAGATATAAAAAAATTTCTTTTTTGTATAAAACTGCTATTTAAAAATATTAGCAGCAACAGCTATAGATACTTTTTGTATTAAAACTAATAAATGTCCTTTTATTCTATCCTATAATAGGTTTACGTGAATGTAATAAAATGTTAAAACATTTTAACCAAAATCAGCGCTTTTTAAAGGAATTTTTTAATTATAAATAATTACAGAATTCTTGTCAGTTTATTTCTCTGGTTAATTTCGTTGTTGGTGAAGTGCCATTGTAATTATGTATTTTCATTTGGGGGTTCCCAGAACAGGCAAGAGTCACAAAGCTTCATCACCCACAAAATTTCCCTCTCCCTTTTATTCAACTACTTTAATGAAGATTAGAATCAATTGAGATATTTACCTGATGGGCTGTGCACTAATTGCATAAAATTTTTCAAACTTTTTTTTAACTTAATTATTATTATTTTTTTTTTTACCTATGACTTTTCGTTATTGTATTATTATTTTTATAATTTTCAGTGCTTTTAATTTCGCTTTTTAAATTTATCAATGTTTAGGAGCAAGATTTTAAAGAAGTGTTAAATGAGGGGATTTTACTATTTTAAATGCAACAAAAAAATAACATGTTATTCAGATTTTTCATTTCAAATATCTTTAACAACTCATTTCTTAGTGATTTGATTTAAAAACAACTGAAATAAAAAATTCAATTTGTTAAATATTATGAGTGATATAATAATAATTTATTTTTGGCAATATTGTTTAGATTCAATACTCATTATATTTACGTTTCAAAATTATTCAAATTTTTTTAATCATTTCATTAAAGAAATACTGGACCAAGTAGAAAAATTTGTAATATGAAGTTATTAAAGTTTTCTTAGTTTGCTTCATCTACATATCTTTGTACGTTCTTCTACATATCTTTATAAATTCCGTACGTTCTTCTACATATCTTTATAAATTCCGTATGATCAATAATATTATTCTTTTAATGTTTTGTTGAATAACTTTTATTTAAACCAAAAAAAATTTAAAAAAAACACTCGAGACAATCTTTAAATAATAGTTAAATGAATTATAATTTTGAAAAGTGCTTAAAAGGTGCTTATTTTTTGTTGAAAAATTTGACTATGCACTCTGATAGCAAGTCTATTTGAAAAGTGATACCAATTTGTTCCAAATTGATGCTGCTTAAATTTTATTTCATGAATATAAGCCTAAATATATGTGTATTTAGTTTAGCTTTTCAAAAATAGTTATATATCTATTGACAAAAATTAAGAAAAATTTTTCTTTATAAAGCAGTTTTGGTCAAAAATTTATTTAATCAAATTTACTAAAATGTCACTGACCTGCTTTTCCTCTCTAAGTTCTTCAACTGTTTGTAATATTTTGTAAGACACAGTTAACATTGTGATAAAGAACCATGTAAAAAAATACTGAGAAAAAGAAAAAAGTAACAAAAAAGTCACTAAACCCTGAAAAGTCCCTGAAAAAGTAGAGTCTTATTAAGATTGTTATGCAAAACTAATACACTAAGTAATAGTGTGTTTGCTTAGTTTGAGGTAATTAAGCATTCATTCAAAAAATCTGATAAAAATACCTTTATAGAGATTGCAGCTTATAAGTTTAAGAAAAAGGAAGGGAAAAAAAACTTAGGAGTATGAAAATTTTTTCATTTTGGATTCTTATATCTTTTCTAGAGTGTCTCTCCATATTTTATCTATAGTGTGTCGATTACGACTGATAGTTCTTATCAACGTATATTTAATAATCCTTTTTTATTGAAAGTAAGAAATGTCTCTTTGTAAACACAGCGTTGTATTAAATATTTTTTATTTTTTTTAATGTAGACATTACCTCTAAATTTTCTTTACAAATTGAAAGAAAAGAGCATGTCATAACAGAGCTTTTAAAAAAATTGATCAAGCTTTTATGAAACCAATCTTTATCTAGTTAGAAGAAGAATATTATGTGAAGTACCAAATCACCTTTTTTTTAAAAAAAAATCAATATTTGTCTTGTACTTGTATCATTCCTATACTTTAAAAAAAATTATTCATTAATTAAAGAATTTTTGAACCAACCCACTGTAGGCCGAAAGGTCATGAAGGAAAAGATTCTACAGTTTTGTAACCTACACTATGATTGTGGCAATGTAGTGATTGCACAAGCCAGCTCTATTATTCTTTAGTAGTCATCAAAAGTTAAACTTAGTTTCAAAAAGTATTTACTTTTTTTCTTCTAATTAATACAAAATACAGTTTATGATCATTAGCATAACTCACCATTAAATGATTCTTTCCTTATCACAACTGCTGCATAAAGTCCCATTTGCTAATCCATCTACGCAATGTTATTTTAATGTTCATTAGAACGTCTACACTGATCTGTTCATTCATTCCAAGCTGTGAAAGTTAAGTCATTAAATTTAGAAAAACCAGTTAAAAGTTTCAAAAGAAATTATTTAAACCTTTATTTTCTTTGATATTACCACACAATAAATGTAAAACACCTTTAATCCTCTGTGAATGAAAGAAAAGTGACATGACCCTCTAAATTCTAATTCTGAAACCTAGCTGGTTGTAATATATGGACATTCATAATCTATAATTTTCTTTTCAAAGGATTGAATAAATTAGTCAGTCATACTTTTCTTGTTTGAAAATTATATTCTCTCTTCTTGTGAGATGTAAGTCCAACTGTGTGGTTATTTTCCTACTTTGTCCATGTGGTCTATGCAGTTATCTTAAAGTACGTTATTTATTGGGAATGGCTGCCCTAAACCGGTAAATTATTTTTAAGCATTTTTCACTTTGAAGTGTTATTTTAACCCCTTAACGATTGGTTAATCTTCAAGAAAACAGTCATAAAAGTGCCTATTTTGCCAAATACATGTATTTGATTAGTGCTGACATCTAGTTTAAAATAAACTATCTACAATTACCTTAAAAGTATCCTGGTACTGCCTTCTGGTGTGTAAAATGAGAAATAAAGTGTTTTCCGGGCAAAGAAATGAACTCGTTTTATTCTTATTGACACGTTACTATTGAACACTCCAGCCCTGAAATTTCACGGGAGCGAGAAATAGAGGACAAAACCTCACCCCGTCATTTTCACGGGAGCGAGATCTAAGGGGTTAATTGCTACTTTCACATACATCTTCATCATTACCAATTTTTATGTTAGTTACCAAATTTTTATTAAATGATAGCATTGCATTGTTTAAAATTGGTCAGATATTTTTTTAGTTATGAGTTAATATTTATGGTGTTTTTGGGCAATCACTTATAACGGCTACTTTTGCCCAGACCAGCGAGAAATGGAGGGCAAAACCTCACCCCGTCATTTTCACGGGAGCGAGAAGGAAGGGGTTAATTGTTACTTTCACATACATCTTCATTATTACCAATTTTTCTGTTAGTTACCAAATTTTTATTAAAGCATTGCATTGTTTAAAATTGGTCAGATATTTTCTTAGTTATGAGTTAATTTTATGGTGTTTTTGGACACTCACTTATAATGGCCACTTTTGCCCAGACCACCAGGGTCGCTCTCTATACCAAGTAGAATTTGTTGACATTATGAAATCTATTATTTATGTTGTTTCTTTCAGATAATTTTTAAGAAAATTATTATTTATTTTTAGAAATTATTAAATAATTATGGCTGTAAAACTAAAGAAGAAACTGAAAGAGAAATCAGCCGTATTCAAGCACAACTGGAAATAACTTCTGAAGAGAATGAAGCAGTAAGTAGAATTTTTTAAAGTAAGCTTTTCCTTATGTCTCTTTAACACTTACAGTTAAATATTTTATTTAAGAATACAAATAAAGAAACCAGTTGGCTTCAGTGGTGACTGGCGGTATTACATAAATAATAGTGTTTAGCAGAAATATTAGGGCTCATAATTAATGCTGGTTCATTAGTCTAGGACTACTAAAATTTGACTCTGACATCACTATAATTGTCAATAGTCTCCCAGGCTGTTAATCAATATAACCAGTGATATGCTGTTTTGGTTCTTAGTTAACTATTTTGGCCTGTGTTATCATCATAAATGTAAACATGACATTCTTAGTGTTATGTTTCATTTAAATACACTTTCATAACTTAATAACTTGATTTAAACAAAAAATCTAATAAAGGCATATAAATGGACCAGTGTGAATATGTGTAGACTAATAATATTTTTAGTCACTGGTTTGAGGTCCAGTCATTAAATTTTCAGAATTTCTACCCTTAAATTAATTTAAATTTTTCTTGAAATTTATCCAGAAAACCTTGCAAATTTAGATTTCTTTTTAATTGAAAAAGAATTATGTTACTACTACCTCTCATAGTAATAGTCACAATCAATGACAGACATGACAACTACTACTTATTGAAAATTGTTGTCTACCAAGATTTTTTTGAAATTGTCCTGTTAGGGAATTTTATTTTTGTAATTGAGTGAAATAATATCATTCATTTTATATTAAATTGTGTAAAGTCAATCAAATATTCGCTATAACAACTAAATATTAAAAAAATAATTTTGTATGTTTGAAAATTTTCAACAAAAGCATTTTAAAATTATCTTTAAACTCTTGTTTAAAGTCTTAAATGCATAATTTAGTACTTATATATGATTTGCTTTTTCATGGTGCATAGCATTTTTAAAAAGCGCTTATTTTTGATTTTAGTTTTTTAAAAGCCGTTAAGGTGCTTTTTTTCATTGGGTGTTCTTAAAAAGTGCTTAATCAAAAATTAAAATTTTCCTGTTGATTTTCATGCAAAAGCGTGCTTTTCACATTGTTCTGTTCGATATTTTCATAATTCATTTTGGCATACTGTCGGTCCATACAGTATGAAAGCGCTAATAATTTTACATGTTTGATGAAATACTCGTGAGTTCGCATGTGCGTCTTCTGAACAGGGTTCAGTGAGATTATTGCACTCTCTGCATTTTGCAAATATTCTCAATTTCAGGCTTCATTTTCCACCTTCTGATATCGAACCGAAAAATCTCTTGATCATTTTATAATGGCTAATATAATCAAGAAAAGAGTTCTTTGGTCAGAAACTAGTTATTTTATCATGTTCATGTAAAGTATTTGAAAATTATTTTGCATTTTGTAAATATATATTTCACCTAAAAATATTTTTTGAGTGCTTAAAAAATATTTAAAAGGTGCTTATTTTTTGCTGAGAGATTTGACTATGCACCATGCATAATTTTTCTGTATCTTTAATTTGTGACTTCTATTCCTGTAAATTTTCTTTGTAAAAACGATTATTTTTAGGCTTGATTTTTGTCTACAAAATTCCATTCAGTTAGACTATTATATTTAAGTAAAATATATTTGCTGTTATTACATAATGCATAAAACTTTTTTATATCTGTTAATACTTTTTACTTAAGATTTATTTTGTTGAATTTTGAAAAACTCTTTTTAGATCATTCAAATATGTGCAAATTTATTCAGTTTTGTCTAAATTTAGGTTCTACATGAATACACACAACGAAAAAAGAGAATTGCAGAAATAGAGACAAATATTGAAACATTTCACACCAAGTTGAGGGAACTGAAAGCAGATATAGATAAAAAGAGGAATGAATGGCTGCCTTCTTTATCAAAATACATCAGAAATATTAATAGAAAGTTCAGTCAATATTACAAACAACTCAAATGTGCAGGCGAAATAAGTTTAGATACATGCAATGATTCGGTAATTCATACTAAGTATTTTCTATTATCCTACCTTTTTCAATAATTATGCTCCTAATGAATATCGTATGTTTTAATTATGATTTTGTATTATAAATTTTATTGTTGGTAATTCTATATTTAGATAATATCATCTGTTTAAATCCTTTATTCTTTATTAAATTTACATTTGATGTGTTAACGCTACTCTAATTTGGAAGTAGTGAATCAACTAGTAATGAACTGAGCAATGTTTCTACCTTTCATTAAATCTGATTAATGTGAGAAAAAAATCCTCAACCACTCACCTGATTTGATAATTCTTTATTTTCATGTAACTTGGTTCTGCATATAACTCTAAATTTATCAATTGATTAAGATTCAGGTAAGGTATTGGCAATGCAGATTTTTCAAAAAGTGCAAACAAAAATTATTATTTAAATAATTATTAAGGGGGATATTATGTTTTGTATAGTTATCAATTTGGTCTGTTTATCTCAATTTCTTATGTTAAGTTTGCTGGAATTAAGAAATTGTTAATTGCTTTAAAACTTTATGTAAAAATATAAAACATGTTGTTAATAGGATTATTACTACTAGGCTAGACCACTCTATGCCTATGAAATATTTCCATTATCAATTTTAAAGTGTGCACCTTTTTGCTGGAAAAGTAAAACTCAAATATTATTTATCTTCACATACATCTAAAATATCAAATTTAGAGTTTAATTAATTTATTATCTGTTTTTGAGTGTGTTCATTCTTAGCAAAAATTACAATCTATCATCTACATAAAATAGAATTATATTTTTACAAAAATAGTAATTGTGTACAAAATGCTCTCCATTAAATTCAGTTTTTCTAATATATTTAATAACGTTTTGAATGACTCTTCAACTATGATTTAAAACACAAAAATATTTTTTATCATGCTTTTTTATTTTTCCGAAACCCTTCTGGTGCTTCTTACATAAAGATTTCGTGTAAAATTAACTATTATGATTTATTTTATAAACTTAATTCTAAAAGCTTATTGGTCAAAACTATTTGGTTATTATTGTTATTTTAAAAAAAGCAAATTTCTTCAGGTTTGTTTAAATGTTTTCTTTTAAATTGTTTACAGGATGATTTTCCCAAGTATGGTCTTCAAATAACACTGAAATACCGAGACAATGAGCCATTTATGGAATTGTCCAGCACTCATCATAGTGGTGGAGAGTGCAGTGTTGCTGCTATTATCTTCATTCTTTCTTTGCAAGAACTCACAGAAGTGCCTTTTAGATGTATTGATGAAATTAATCAGGTATTACTTAAAAGATCTCGTTCTTTTAAAACAGAATTCCTTTTTGACATTTAATTCCATCTTGTTCCTTTTTAAACAACTATTGGCAATTGCAGAATCATGAGAGAAATCTAGTGATTCTACAATTGCCAGCAAGATTTTGATTTATGCTTATCAGGTGTTCCAAAAAGTATCAACAATTTGTAAAATCAATTAAACCCATACCAAATAAATCCCTGGGCATAGAAGTGTAGGGTAAACTGCATCCTGCCTAAGAAACAAAGTCCAAATAACAAAACCCTTTAACTGATTGATCTATTGACTGAAAAAAACTGTAAACAATGTTTTCTGCTGCTATGTTAAGTGTTCTAACTGAAATATTTGCACCCTTGTTAATTTTTTGGTTTCAGGTTGTACCACATTGTTGCTGTAAATAATAGTTGTTTTGTAAAAATATTTTTAATAATTTCTCTAAGTTATTAATACCATTTGTTTGGGAACTTTATTGTTAACTTCAAAATTTAGTCATGATAAATTCTTAAGCTTTTTCCAGTTTCTTGAAGTGAGGGCTGCAAACCATGATACTTCTTCTGTTTTAAAATCGGCTTTTTAAATCTCAGTCATTTTTAGTACACCCTATAGTGCTTCCTAATCTTTTAATTTAACTCTGCAAATCCTTTTAAACCTAAAGGATGGGTTAAACTTTTTTTTTACCCCAGCCATGCATCAACAGTCAGACCAACTTTTACAGATTAATCTATTTAGTAATAATATTGTTTGTGCTCAATATTATTTATTACATTGTGTCTGCTCTATGTGTTTTTGAAATATGGAAAACTAGTGCATATGCAAAGGAATAGGTTTAACTAATGGAAAGAATAATTTTATTTATAGAAAGGAACCTTGTTAATGATAATGGGAGACAGCTATGATTTCAGTAACATATTCTTTTAATTTTTTGTACATTTTTGAAAATGAATTAGCTTTTAATCGTGTAATAAATTCTTTTTTTTTTTTTTTCAGGGGATGGATGCTCAAAATGAAAGAAGTATGTACAATTTAATTTCAGATAGTGCAAAAAGTGGATCCTGCTCTCAATATTTTCTGCTTACTCCTAAGGTATTAATATTTCTAACTCAACTTTTGTATCTCTTAAAAATATTAATCTAAGTTAGTGCTTCATTTATTTATAGTTAAATTTTAAACATAATTTTTTTAAAATTTTCTCCAGGTTATTTATTCAAATTTGTATCTTATACATTCTGCACTCAAATATTGCATTCAACGTTTGATTTGTATTTAATAGTTTATCATTTTTAAAATTTTATACATTGCTTTGTAATAATGATGAATTTTTTTTATTTAAGTAAAACTATAGGTGTTATTTTTAAAGTTTATAAGTACACTTTTTTTAATGAAAAAATGCTGTTATTGATTAATCTTTTATCCTTTTCATATAAATTGTTTTGAATAATTTGTGTTTCTTTCTCACTGCTAAGCTTTATCTTAAACTGAAAAAATAGTGTGTTTCGATTATCATTTAAAGTTACTATTGTAGCTTTGGTTTAAAAAAAAAAACAATGTCTTGATTCCAGTTTCAATTTGATTTAAATCACTGATAGCCTGATTAAGAAAACTATTTTGCCAGATTAATTTAAACTTTAAGCAATTGTGAAAAAAAATTTATCATTTTTTTAATTTATGTATTGTGCAACAATATCAGATTTACTCTTATCAAAATAACTTGATTAAAATACTTGATTTAATTGGACGTAAATGTTCAGAATAACAGCCTACAATTTTATGGACAACAAAGTGAATATATTTAAAAACAGGTATACCGTCAAAAGAATTAAGATATCTATCTGTATTTTAAAAGTCAAAATATCTTACAAATAAAAGTTTGATATTACCATGAAAATTGAAATTAATTGGAATAATTCTTCAAATTTTTGCTATTTCAAATAAGTATGTAAGCCAAGTATGGGTTTTGTATGAAAACTAACTATAATATATTTAATCTCATTATTTAAGATTTCAACTCAAGAATTCAAAATTTCGTGCTGAATCTAATTTGATAATTTTTTAATTTACAGAATGTTCAATAATTTCTTATGCAGTATTTGTATCAAAATGTGCCCATTAACCAAAGATTCTATTAACTAATGATTTATAGCATAGAATTTTATGAAATGGAGATAAAGCTTTTAAAATAACAAAATGTGACTTGCTATAGAAAGAAGACTGAAGGAAGTAAATGGTTTCACACATTGGACTCAATATGTTTGTTTTCACCAATTCGAAAATCTTTCTTTGCAAGAACTCTGTAACTCTCAAAATGATCGAATGTTATCAGTATTCATTCAAGACATGCCACCCAATAAATAGTCTTTAGGGAGATTTCTAAATAACACATCTTTAATAGTTTAGGGAGTTTTTTTTTCAAGTAGGAGATATGAATAAATTAAAGCTTGCCAAGTTAAAAGATGAAATCATACAAACCCACTTGTTATAATGGTTTGGGCATAATTTTTTTATTATTTATTTATTTATTATTATTTATTTACTTATTTATGTTTTTTTTTTTTTTTTTTTTTTTTTTTTTTTTTTTTTTTTTTTTTTTTTGCTGAAATAAAATGTGAATACTTCTAACTACACTTCCAAAATTTTTTCTTTCAAGCTGTATAGTTACTTATTTCATCCAGTCTTTCAAATTATCAAATTTAAATCTAGTTTTCTTTCTACTTCAACACCCATCAGCAAAATAACTGAACCTTTACAAGAGTAATGAATGCTTTTACAAATAGGAACTTTCTTAGTTTATGTAATAATTAGAAATTCTTTCATATTAATAGTTTTTTTTTTTTTTTTGCTAAAGAGTTTTGGATTTAGATTGATGTAATAGAGAGGCAGCCACAAATACCAGCATATCTGCTGACTTCTTCTGTGCAATTTATATTGTAGACACATTTGTTTATTTTTTCAGAGTAAGATTAGTTTCATTCAAGAGTTTATTACATGTAATATTATCACAAGCAATGAAAACAATTCTGTATCATATTACAAAAATTCCTTGAAATAACAATTTGAAGCCCAACCCCAATATAAAGAAAAATACAATTCAAATTGTTGATTTAAATCACTGAAAGGCTTTTTTGTAAAATGATGAACACTATCAGATAGAAATTAAGTAAAACTGTAATTTGTCAAGTCATTGTTTGTCACTTGTCTCGTAGTGGAAAGGTATAGAAAATTTTAGTTTAAACATTTTGGAGATTAGAAATTCATTTAAGCAGACAACTTAACCACTCTTTCCTTTTGAAAGTAATCTAATGTCTAGAATGAACCTCAAACAGAAATAATGTTATGATAAAGAATTGCCGTTGCGTAGTGTTTGTGTGAATTCTAACATCATCTCATTATCTTTTTCAACAACGCAATTACTAAATCACACCCACACATTTATAATAACAAGCTATAATTTTACTAATGAGAATGAGAGCATATATTGGATAAAAAAAAAATCAGTTATATTAATAGTTAACATATGAAGAAAACTATGTAATTAAATTTCAATATTAATGTTTATGGTTAAAACTTAATAAATAAATATAGTTGAAACTAAAAAGTTGTATTTTTGCAGAGTTAGGAAAATAGGGTTTTTATTTGGACTAAGGGCATTCTTGTTTTACCTGCTAATTTCATTTTTCCTCTAACTTGCTAATGAGAATAGTGCCATTTTAAGGAAAATAGTTTTATAAAAATACCAAAATAGCAAGAAAATAAAATAAAGTTTTTATTCCATTTAAAATTCCCAGATTATTAGCCAAAAATTCTCATCTATAAGCATGCTGTTTTCTGCAAATTCACTGAATTCTGCCTGATTTCGATCAAAAATTTTAATTATCAATTCTCAAGTTGTAAAAATTTGATATGTTGTACAATCCATAAATTGTTAGTAAGTTTTTGATCATTTCTACCCAATTTAATGTTGCAGAATATTTTAGATGCTTGAATGATATTGTGTAGAAAAACCTGATTAAATAAATTTTATTACAGTGAAATTTTATAAGGGACCATTGTGATCATATACTTACTTATTTATTATTTTTATAAGATGAAATCAAATCATATGTGATGGAGTTTAATTGTTTCAAAAATATGAATTGTTCTCTTAGTAAAGTTTATTCAAAATGAATTTGATCTAATTTAAATTTTGTCTCTCATAAAACTTTTTGAATGAAAAACTAAGCGGTTGTTCATAAATTATTTTTTTAAACATTTCCAAATTATTAAAATTAGTGAAACACTTTAATTATAAACATGAAGATCTGATTATTAAATAATAAAACAAAATGTTATTAAATAATTAATTTGGCACCTATTATGAAATGATTCCAAATGAGTGTTAAATAAGAGAATTGAGAGTTAAATTTTTTATGTTTTATTTATTATAAGTATTTTAATTATTGAATTTCATTTAGAGCAATTTGCAATTTTTTTATTAAATTTTTTAGCAAACATGTTTCTGAAGTTTTATGTTATCGCACAAAGTTCAGCTTTTATTTCAAAACTGTGTGGCGTGTCTGTATCTGTGAAAGAATTAATATGTGTTCTTATTTTTAGTTTAAGGCATCTTGATTCTAATAAGTAATACATTAAAAATGTTTCGTTTATCTATTACAATGTTACTTAGATACTATATAATGCTACTTAGATACTATAAATAGTATTTTTTTCTTNTTTTTTTTTTTTTTTTTTTTTTTTTTTTTTTTTTTTTTTTTTTTTTTTTAGTTATTGACAGGTCTGGATATGCTTGAGCATGAAGATGTTACTGTTCACATCATTTTTAACTCAACCTTTTTAGAAGTAGATATGAGTGTCCAACAACATATTGAACTGTTAGATACCTGATAGAAATGAGAAACATTTCTTTATACATGTACAGTTGGTTTTAAAATCAAAATTGTTTATTTGTATTTTTCCCCCTTGTTTTGTTACAATATCTCAAAATTAAAATAAAAAATAATCTTGTATGAAAAGCTCTTTTCTTGTCTGCATTATCATAATTTATAAATTTAAAGGTTTTTGTTTCTAATTTTATTTAACAGAGGTAAGAAAGTTTCCATTATTTTTAATCATAAATATCAATGTAAAAATTAAAGTTTGTGGTTTAAAATGTAGTCTAAATTTATTGCACAAATTTTTATGTATCTATGTTAATGTTTTCAAAATTATATTTTTGAACATCAGAAGTTTTTTTTTAAATTTCAAAAGTCATTTATATATTACATAAATCTTTCAATTATTTATTTATTTTAAATATGGATGTTGTTAAATATTATGATATGATCTCGGGGTTAAATCATTACAAACGCCTTACGCCTTTAACAAAATATATATAATAACAAAACATGGATGATGTTCATGATACAGTGGCATGGAAGAAACTGATTACAATGAATGATATGATTTCACATTACTGCGCAGAGCGCAATCTGTTTAGTTTTAGAAATTATTATTTACATTGAGAAATATTATCAACACTCCCCCTCCCCCTGATGAACTCTTAGTTCATAACAAATTAATCATTTCAAAATATTAATCAAAGTTATATTTCTCAAATGTAAGTTACCAATAGATGTCTTAAATGTCAAGATGTTTTTGTCGTATTTTGAATATAATTTTCTTAAAACTATTTTTTTTCTTGTTATAATCAAATGCAATGAATATCTTGATATTTTAGGTATGTCTTTATCTTTGTACAATGAACAATATTTCTATAAAATTTTAATTATGCTAAAATACAGGATGATTCTAAATTCTTGGAGGTGAAGAAGGACACATCATAACTAAGAATTGCACAGGCACCCAGGATTATAAATGTCAATCAACGCTGCTAGAGATTCTTCCCTATTATAAATTGTTTCTATGTGAGCCTTTGAACAGGCTTTCATTTATCTAAATTGTCTTAGTTTCATGTTAATATTATGTTTTCTATTAATTATTGTATTCAAATAGGCTCGGACAAAGCTGTTTTATTGTAATTTAATGATTTAGCAAACTTCTTAGTCGCCAAATCATTAAATTACAATAAAATAGCTAATTCTGAACAATTTTATTTGCAATTTTTGACAAGAATTATTAAAAAAAAAAGAAAAAACTAAAATTAAGATTGTGTAAATAAATAAAAATACCTGTTCAAAAGCACTCCTAGAAACAGTTCATATTAGGGAAGCACCTTTAGGGCTATGACATTTTCTGTCATGGGTTTCTAATTTTTATGGATCTTTAATTCTTAATCCTTATGATGTGCCCTACCTTCCCTCCAATTTTTTTCATGAGTTTAGAATCATCCTGAATTTCTTTAAACTAAAATTGAATGTGATAAGAATTTTTGTGAATTTTTAATATTGTTTGCGTGTACATGGCAATATTTTATTTTCATTAACTTTTTATATTTAATTCTGTTACTTGTTTTTTTCATTACTTTTTTGTGGGAAAAAAGATCAAGTATTTGTAATGAAAATGTTGAAAAGATTTTCATTACTTTACTTTTGCTGGAATTTTTCAAAAGTTAATGTATTTTTTAACCACTAACTTCTTTTTCTTAAAACATCTTTGAGGATTGCGATTTCCGCTAAGGGTAACAACAACAAAAAAAGAGAGGCCACAGCTCATTTTAACTGCTGAAAAGTCATTGAGTGATTGACTATTTGAGTATTCGGAAAATGAATTATCTGTTTTCATAGAATCAGCTGTGATATATGACAAAAGTCAAAATATTCTTAAAAAGATTTGAAATCGGAAAAAAATTTATATTTAGCTGTAATGAAGTATAATATTTGTGTACTATTTCTAAAAAAAAAAGTTCTTTTAACTTCAATTGATATTGTTTCCACTTCTAAAAATTTTTCGCCTGTGGTTTTAAAATTGTCAAAAAGCTATTTAGAATTCATACTTTTTAACAATTTCTGTCTTATTTAAGACTTTTTCTTAGAATCAGCTGTGATTTCTTAGAATCAGCTATGATATATGATTTGAATAGCTGTGGAGAGGAAAGAAAATCGTTCAGGTCAAAAGATTCTAAAATAGTTTTGAAATTGGAAAAAAAAATGTATATTGAAATAGCTATAATCAAGTATAATATTTGTAAACTATTTCCAGAAAAATAGTTCACCTTTAACTTTTATTGGTATTTCACCTGGACATATTTTTCTTTTTTCCTAAAGAAAATAGTTTTGTTAAAGTTACAAATTCTATGTATCTTTGATATCTTACTGACATCTTTGTTGTGTTTTGACTTTTGCTATGCCCCTTTAAAAAATAGTCAGCTGTTTTCTTTTCCTTGATCAATGGGCTTTGCTTCAGGTTACTTATTTATATTAGATGAAGAACAGCGGTACATTGAAGACTTCATTTTTTTTTTTAGAGGGGCACAAGTAATATTACAAAATCTAAATTTTTCCGTTTCAAAAGTGTTTTAATCCGTTTATTTGATGTAGGTATTCATTTAACTTAGACAATTAATATTTTTGTAACCAAAATAAAAGCATTTGCAGAAATATTCCAAAGAAGCTAGCCAGAGAAAATATTCTCTTAAGCGTTTCAAAAACTGTTTGATTTCTATTTCATTTTTTTTTTTTTTTTTTCAACAACAAATTATTTTTACAAAAAATTGAAACAACTAGCCTAATCCCATTTATAATCTTGCTTACTGTTAAAATAATGCATTTACTACTTACTGTTATGGTTTTATATTATTACATGATTTATTATTTCAAAGCAATCGTAATTGAAAAAATATTTGTGTGCATGAAGTGAAAGAACTTGTGAAAAAGATTAAGAATTGCGAAGTATAAAAAATTTTATATTATTTTAAGTTAAGTCATTTTACATGTTAATGCAGGACTCCCACGATACTTAAAAGTACTTAATTATGGTTCAAGGTTTTTAAAAGTCCTTAATTTTTTAGCATTTCTAAGGTTGATAGTAACAATTTTTCATTTAATTTTTTAAAACAAAATGTCGTTATTTTATGACTTCAAATTAGACCATGCATCGAAAGGCAAGCATTTTAGAGGGACGAAAACTAATGTGGGGGGGGCTACAGGAAAGGGGAAGAAAGCATTCATTAATATATTCAGGGTTGCCACTTCACAGGGAAAACCTGGAAAATACAAGGAATTTAAAATTCACCTAAAATTACAAGGAATTTGTAGTTTTTCTTTACAAACAGAGAAAATACCAGGAATTTTGTTTCTTATTTTCGTCTTTTAAAAAATGGTGACCATTTAAAGCTATGATATATTTGAGGATGATATTTCAGCTATACTAAACTATTTAATTTACTCCAGCATTATTTGTTTTAAATATGTTCAGCTGTACCTTTTTTTTTAAGTTTCTCAGGTAATTAGTTATAGTTAGTACAATGTAGCTCACACGAAAGCACATTGATAGTGTGTTTCCTTTTAATATATTGTGTATAATATCTATAGGTAAAACACAGGGAATTTTTTTTTTCTTCTTCAGATTAGAGTGTCAACCCTGATATTGTTTCTTTCATTAATATATTCTGCCTTTTGCCTAGAATGATACTCTATGAGGAGATTGAAGCATTCTAAAAGAAAAGAATAGTGTGGACAAGGGGAATACTGCACATGGAAGAGATAGTGAGAGATTAAATTTAATTAGTAACATTCTTTGTTTTTATGCCAGAAAAATCTAAAATTCCAAGTTTTAAAGATGTTTCCGATTTTTCTTGAAAATCACTTCATAAAATTTTAAAAATTAAACACTAATATATCCTTAAAAATTAATTCTTTATATCATTCTAAAGATTAAATGCTTGGCATAAAGAAAACATTATTTAAGTACTTATAAAAAATAATTAATAAGTAAAATATAGAACCTTTTTGTAAGCAATCTAAGCTGCCCTATACATTAAATTTCATATAAAGTGTCATGTGCACTATTGCTTTAGAAATATATCCAATTTAACAGCAACAAAATAATATTTATTAATATTTAAAACGACAAAACAAAACAATTATGAGTATATTATAAGGGCCCTCAGCGGCCAAAATAGACTTACAGAAATATTCTCTTATCGAGGAAAGACCGGCCTACGCGCCGGCTCCTCTTCATTCTCTCTCTTCTCAAATCTTTAATTGGGTTAGTGATTAACTCGCNAAGCGCCCTCTGGCGAAGATGTCCGCACACTACACCCCCCACGCAAGATTGAAGTATCTCCCTTGATACTTAATCTGACAAAACATATAAATTGATAATAAACAACTATATCGTAAATATATAAACTAAACTAACAATTAACATTCATCACTAATATTAATGAATATTTCAAATAATGCAAATAATATGTAGTTACTTCAAGTAATAAAACATTTCCAATAGGCAGATAATGCACTCAATTACTTAACATAACATAGCATTAAACTATTAAAATTTATAACTTGCTTATAAAATCAAAATAATATATATAATTAATGAAATGTAAACATATGTAAAAAGAATGCCACAAATTTTACAATTTCCATCAAAACTAAGTAAAACAATGCTTGACTGGAAATTCTTATTAATAAAACAGATTAATAACCAACTAATAAATTTATCAACATTTCAATATATTTTAAACATTACCCAAAATTAATATATTATAAGGGCCCTCAGCGGCCAAAATAGACTTACAGAAATATTCTCTTATCGAGGAAAGACCGGCCTACGCGCCGGCTCCTCTTCATTCTCTCTCTTCTCAAATCTTTAATTGGGTTAGTGATTAACTCGCCCTCTAGCGGTGAGCCAATCACTACATAAAGTAAAATAAATTAGAAAATGTTAATAATCGCTTTGATAGAGTCTCATTATCGTCTGTTAGCATTCAGTTAGACTGGTATTAAAACGTTTTCACTGTTTTCATTTGTGTGCAATGTATTTTCTAATTATTTTCTTTACTCCTATATTTAAATTACTAGTAACTTTGATATCTGAGTTGTGTACGAAAATACAAAGAGCGTTTAACAACGTTCGCAAAGAGGACAGGCTATATATCAAGGATGATAAAAAAAATGATTGATTAATAGAAAATATTTTTTATTGCCATAATGAACATTTAGGTGGAATGCTATTACCGTCAAGAAATCTGAAAAACATTTTTGTGGTTTTCTTTTGCTTGCATCACAAAATTAGATTTGTTTTAATTTAATTTTACATAAAATGGGTTGCTAAACTAAACTCAGTGGCGCGACAGCCCATAGAGGGCCAAGGCCTACTGTGCCCATCTCAGTTTTCTTGACCTTGGGCTCTGGGGTGCAGAAGCAGTTGTTCCGGTTAGGTGGTTAGCCGAACGCGAAACCCCCAGTGTTTAGTTCCCAAGCATGCTTGGTACTCATTTACCGACCCACTGAAGGGATGAAAGGCTGAGTCAACCTTGCCCGGCCCGAGGAAAATGGGTTACTACAATAGTTTTTGTAAATATGATTTTACTCTGATACTTAAATTGCAAGTTATTTTGATTTCTTGGTTCTGTTAAAAATATAAGACGAAGTGTCTCACAACATTTAATAAGATGATATGATGTCTGTCAAGGATAATAAAAAAATTATTGATTATAAAAAAATAATTTCATTCCGATAATGAACATTCAGCTGAATCGAATCTACCGTTTAGCAATCTAAAAAACCTTAAAAAGATAATTATAACAAAAATAATTCCTTTGAGATAATGAGCATTTAACTGGAATCCTAATACTGGTAAAAACAATCTAAAAAAAAATCTTCGTGGTTTTTCTTTTGTGTGTTAGGCCTAAGCTTTTATCAAGGCTAACCTTGGCTAAGGGAAGAATGTCTTGGCATAGGCTTGTTGAGAAGGCCAAGGCCCATCCTGGGCTGTCGTGCCAATGAGAAGAAGAAGTAACTCAAAATCTGAACATTTTAATTTCAAAATAATCTGGATTAAAATAAATTATTTTTATGAATATAGTTTTACTCCGATACTTAAAGTGCGATCTACTTTGATTTCTGGGTTGAGATAAAAATTACAAAAATAAGCATTCCATAATATTCTCAAGGAAGATTGGCTGTCCGTCAAGAATACTAAAAAAAAAAGAAAAAATATTTCATTATGAAAAATTCATGGCAATTACTGAGCATTTAGCTGGAATTATTTTTCGTGGTTTCCCTTTACGTGTAACGCAAAATATGATTGTTCTCTTTAAAAAAAGAGACATTCATGAAGGCAGCAATGCTTAATTATTTGCATAAATTATGAGTTATTTTATATTTCTGCTTACAAAAGAAGAGCATTTGATTTATTGCAATTCACTAACAGCGTAGATAGTTATTTGCGGATGAAAAGAAATGATTTAGCAGATTTCGATATTAATAATTCAAATAACTATTCATGCACGTGTAATTTGGAAAATTATTAATCATTACTTAAACACTAAAGGGAGCTTAAAGGCATATTTATAAAGATCCGTCATTGATATTCGCTTTATACAATCAAATAATTGTTTTAATGAAAAAGATCTAACTCATAAAAAAATTAAATTTATGGTCGAATTGCTTATTTTCTCTAAAATGTATCTCATAACGCATTATTAATTATAACGACATTAAAACAATAATAAGAAACTTCTAAAATTCACGGTTTTAATTTTGAATTTGTTCTGTTAAATGACATGTATCATATATTTAAATATAAAAAAATGATAAATAAGCATTTATATTTAAGAATTAATAGGAAAAGGAACTCTGAACTAGCAACTATTATTGAATTTGCAAATATTCTTCCTTCGTTTGTTTATAACCCAAGTTCTGAAAACAGAAACAAATTAAACCGAAGGTATAGCCTGAATAATCTCTGTGTCCCGCAGTAGACTGATCGATAAGACATCGTTCCCATCAGATCACCGAAGTCAAGCATCACTGGGTAGGGTACGGGGTCAGTGTGCGGGTGGGTGCCCACTTGGATTAATCTGCGTAGGGACAGATGGTGTGCGGTATTGGTCCTCGTTAAACTGTTCTACCGTAAAGTGCTCGACTTCGCGTGCTGGTCGTCAGGCTACTGAAGCGGGGGTGCCATCCCCTCTGCAGAGGATCAAAATTGAGATGGCATGTCTTCGGATCATTCTCAGGGATGTTTCCCAGACAGTCGTCGTCCCGCAGTGGACTGATCGTTAAGACACGGTTCCCAGCAGATCACCGAAGTTAAGCATCACTGACTGTGGGTGGGTGACCACTTGGATTAGTCTGCGTAAGGACCGATGGTGTGCGGTATTGGTCCTCGTTGAACTGGTCTACCGTGAAGTGCTAGACTTAGCGTGTAGGTCATCGGGCTACCGAAGCAGGGTTGCCATCAACTCTGCAGAGGATCATAATTGTGATGGCATGTCTTCGGATCATCCTCAGGAATGTTCCCCAGACCGTCACCAATAGCCCATTGTGCAGCTCTAGTGCGATGTAAATTAACTACAACAACCCAGACAGTCGCCAATAGCCCATTGTGCAGTTATAGTGTAACGTAAATGAAGTGCAATAATCTCTGTGTATGAACTTCAATAAGCAACCAAACAAATTACAAGAGATATATAGACATCTTTAGGCAATCTACAAAATAACATACTGGTTTTCAGAAATAAAAATATTTTGGAATTTAAATTAAACTGCTTTTTAATGCTCAACACTGATTACACGCAATACTTATGCCAGGCTATGATTTCAGAAAGTATTGCCCATAGCGTTGTGAGCGCCACTTTTTGTGCGCAAAATCGGTCTGCCAATAGCATGTTGCTTTTCAAAATCTCTCCGAGAAAAGTAAGAAATTGTCTCCCCGCGTTATTATCAAAAATAGTATGGCAATGTCTTTTATTTATTTGTAAACATTACTAGCATGCTCGTTGCTAGTATGCTCATCTGCTGTAAGAGAGATACCAGTATGTTATAGGAAAACCGAATAAAATTTTAATATTTACCTACACTTTCATATTAAGATAATAACTTTTTCTAGGAAATTATTTCTTTATTCGTAAGATCGCTTCTTACGTTTCGTCAGATTGCCTGCTTTTGAAAATGACTGGCTATCTCGGTGGTCATATTCTAAGAATTAAATTGAAAAATTTTATGTAAGTTATAAATGTTATGGAATTTTCGAATTAAAAGAATTAGATTTTTTTTGTGTGGATTAAATTCATTTTGTGAAAACTTATTGTTTGATGAATCAAAACACTGGTACTCGTACAGAAAATGTGACAGGGAAATCAGACAGAAATCTCAATGTGAAACTCGGTAAAAAAAAAAAAAAAAAAAAAAAAAAAAAAAAAAAAACAACGGTACAAATCGACATAGTTAATTTTTACTGGGAAATAGGTTTTTTGTAACCGAAATCGAATAATTTTTAGGTGCTAAAGATAATAGAACTTTTAACAGTTTCACTTATTTACTAATCAAAAAATGAATGATGTGATATTTAATTCAGCAAATGTGGCCGAATATTAAATATAAATCTAGTGAAATCATTTAAAATTCATTTATTTATGAAATTTGAAAAAAATTACTTAAGAAAACCCATTATCTTTAAACAATTAAGAAGGATAAAATTTATTTGCTTCATCAAAAAAAAAAAAAATTAAATTATATTGTATTTTCTAAAATATTTTTTACCTAATTTTAATAATTATTTTATGTTCATATTCATCTTAAACACCTTAAAGCACCAGAGTTAATAAATATGTTATCTCAGTGTATTTTTTTAAGATTAAACTTGGGGGACATTGCAGGGAAAGCTGTAGATCACATGTTTCACCACCTTTAGGTGAAGTAAAAAACTGCTTGAGGACAAAAATATTTTGCATTTTTGAATTAAGGATAGAATATATATTAATTTTCAGCAATAAAAAAAAAAATTTTTTTGTTACGGAAATTCGAAAAAAAATCAGACAAAGTTAAATTGAAATAACAGTACTTAAGCTCAGACAAAGCCACTGGCAATAGGTAGACAGTGAAAAAATTTGTTTAATATATTGTTAAAAAACTAATTAAGATATTAAAAATTCAGTACATTAACAAAAAACTAGTTAGTACAGGGTTTTGTCTAGGTCAAATTTACTACCGTTTAGCGGTACCTTCACAAATTCAACTTTAGGAAAAATGGTAGTTTCACAAAAAACTTTTTCTTAAAATTTTATTTTTGTGTCCCGTAAGAAACGATAAATTCATATTTTTATCATATTTTTGTGTTGATTTTTTTATATAATTTTTAATTTTTACAAATTATGTCTAAATTTTTACTAAATAGGTACCTCTCAGAAAAACCTAGACAGACCCCTGTAGTATTATGAGCAGATTATACTTAAAAAAAAGTTAAGGATTCTAAAGGGAAAATTAGTGCTTCACTAATGTTTCAAAACCATGTTCTGCCTCACTGAAAGGTATTGGAATGTCGTACCCGCACGTTCTGGCTCCATAACGCCATTGTTTTTATAGTACTTAATCCATATATACCTTAGTCCCATCGGATATTTTTATTAAAAAATTATTGCTCTCTCGTTATTAGAAGCAGGGTTGGGTTTTTGACGTCAAAAAGTGGTTTTTGACATGACAAGGGTATAATACTGGTTTAAACCGTCAAAAATGTCAAAAACTGAAGTTTGCCAAGAAAATATATAAACTTCAAAACTACCAACAGTTGCCATGCATTATATTGAAATTTAATTATACTATAGGTAATCAGCAGGTTTTAAAATATTTTTTAATTAAAATTAAGGTAAAATAACAGATTTAAAATCTCAGAAATTTATATTCAAATGCATGTGCAGAAAAATTTTGCACAAAAATTGTTTAAATATTTATATTTAAAAAAAAAATTTTTTTTTTTTTGATACTTAAGAAAATTAAAAGTTTATTACTATGCATTTTTGACATATAAGGAACATATAACTAATATTTATAAGGAACTTACAAGTTATGTTGTATAAATACAAACTTGATACAAGTGTATAAAAAAAATTTTTTAATGTTATACCGAATATCTTTATTATCCAGTATGTTAATTTGAATTTAAAAGTAGTTATATTTGTGAATAATGATAAATATAATTCATATTGTTTATTATATTTATTTATAATTATTACACTTATCATTTTAAAACAATTTTTACCTCTTAATTTTTTCCCCCACTTGTATTAAGAATACAAATAATGCATATCTTGAAAGCAAGAAGTAATTATTCAACAGCTGAATATTTAGATATTCAACAAAACTATGTATATAGTATTCAGCAAAATGAAATTCACAAGTATTTGGATAAACTAAATTTTCAGCATAGTAAATGAATAGGCTGAATATACTGTAAATCGACACTAACTACTCTGTGTATTTAACAGAAAGCACTTAAATTTGTATTGTCTTATGTTAAAAAGATTATTAAGAAGATTTAAAAGAATATTAAAAAGATTTTTCTTTAAAAGATGTCTAATGTACAAAACTGCTAATGTTTATCTTTAAAAATGTCTAATTTTTAGTATAATCTATACTATACACTAAATTTGGTTATAAATAAATTTCTTAATAATATCACTGCAGATTTTCAATAACACATGAAAATGAATACATAATATTACAAAAGATGTGAGCTTTCAAAAGTACAAGATTTTGGTTACTATTCAAAATATAAGTGTTTCTTCAAAATTTTAAATTTATTTTTTCTAGAACATATTTAGAAACACTATCCTTTATAAAAAATATATAAATTTTATGTATTAATTAAATTTCACATATGAATATAGGTTTTTGACATTTTCGACATTTTTGACAGTGAGGTTTTTGACGTGACGGTTTAAGCCATGGTTTAAACTGTCAAAAACTGTCACATGTCAAAAACCTGCCAACCCTGATTAGAAGTATACATAAGTATATTTATTTTTAAGGACTTATGATGAATTAGAGATATATCCACAGCATGGACTTAATCTGATTGTAGGCTTAAATGGAAGTGGAAAATCATCTATAATGTGTGCAATATGTTTAGGCCTTGCTGGAAACACACATTTAACGGGACGAACTGGCCAGTTATCAGATTTTGTGAAGTATGGATGTGAGCAAGCAGTTATAGAGATTGAGCTGTAAGTATATATAATTTATTTTTGTTGGTAAATTGTATTGTTATGAAACAATTTCAATACCTACTGTACATAAAAACATGTTGAAATCAACTCATCTCATGTAGAGTGCTAATTTAGACCTTAATACATCGATTTTATTCTATTGTATTGGTTTTAATTCTAAGTTTGTTTGAAATCTGGTGTTTATTTGTTTTATCATGAATTTTAATATGCATTTTCTATTTTTTTTAAGGGAAAATCCTTCAAAAAGTAATGCTGTTGTAACTAGAATCATCGAGAGAGATTCTTCAACTTGGCTGTTAGACAAAAAACTTGTTTCTTTTGACGAGGTATAGCATATAATTTGATTTTAGTCGCTAAAAAATGATTTAACTTTTAATTTGTTTCATAAATACTTATAAATATTTTTTATTTGTTTCAAACATACTTTTATTTTAAAAGCATTACATTTTAGGTATTATATTTTTATTATTTATAAAATATATATATATTTATAAAATATATATTATAATATATATTTATAAAATATGTTTATAAAATATATATTATACAGTAGGGAACTGATTATCCGGAATGATCGGGACCATCGCTATTCCGGATAACTGATTTTTCCAGTTTTCTGAATCGCTACGAAAAGCCGTTTTTTTTTATTGTTAAACCCAACTAAAAAAAAAAAAAATTAGAAATAATCTTAAAAAGAAGAAAAAACGATAAAGTAATACACTAAGGATTATTTCCAAAATGATGGTATGGTAAACATCTTCCAAAACAGAAAGAAAAATCCTAAAATCTTATGAGGAAAAAATTTTTTTTTAAAAAAAATGGCAGGAAAATTTATCGAATTT